TACGTCCATTTGATAGACAGTGAATTGCTTATGGGCAGCATAGGCTAAGAATATTCTTATAGCCTCAAGTCTAGCAACAGGAGCAAAGGTTTCATCAAAATCTATACCTTCTTCCTGGCAGTAGCCTTTGGCTACTAGTCTTGCCTTGTTCTTGACAATTGTGCCTTCCTCATCCATCTTGTTTCTGAACACCCATTTGGTTCCTATCACATGTTGGTGATAGGGTCTGGACACAAGCTCCCACACATTGTTTCTCTCGAACTGATTTAGTTCCTCTTGCATTGCTTGTATCCAGTCAGAGTCAAGTAGGGCTTCTTCAATTTTCTTGGGTTCGATTTGTGAGATGAAGCATGAGAATAGTGCTTCTTTTTGGATTGCTGACCTTGTACGAACCCCTTCATGGATGTTTCCAATGATTTGGTGTGGAGGATGTTTGTTCAACCATCTAATGTCAGATGTGGTGGTTTTGCTTTGAAGTTGTTGGTCATCCTCAACTTCTTCTTCGTCACTCTCTTCTGGTAGAGTAGGGTGTTTAGGAATTTCATGAAGGTCTGGAAGGATGTTTGTTGGTGAGTCACCTGCTGGCAGTGGGCTGACAGTTGAGTCCACTGCTGGCTGTGGACTGACATTAGATTCAACTATTTGTTCTCTATCATTTCCTGGAAGGCGGCTTGGAGCCTTTCCAGTGTCCTTCTTTGAGTTGGATGACTCACATTTTTCTTTTGATTGAGCAGTGGGGTGATTTTCAAAAACCACGTGGATTGATTCTTCTACTACCAGAGTTCTTTTGTTGAGGATCCGGAATGCCTTGCTTGTTGCTGAGTAGCCCAGGAAGATCCCTTCATCAGATTTGGGATCAAATGGCTTGAGATAGTCTTTTCCATTGTTTAGAATGAAGCATTTGGATCCAAACACATGGAAATGACTTACATTAGGCTTTCTTTCTTTCCATAGTTCATATGGAGTCTTTTTGTAAGTCTTATGAATGAGACTTCTATTCTGGGTGTAGCAAGCAGTGTTGATGGCTTCTGCCCAAAATCTTTTGGGTAAACCAGCTGCTTCTAAGATTGTCCTTTCGGCTTCCTTGAGTGTCCTATTCCTTCTCTCAGCAACACCATTTTGTTGAGGTGTTCTTGCTGCTGAAGTTTGGTGATGGATTCCATTTTCTTCACAGTACTGAATTACTATAGAGTTAAGGAATTCAGTACCTCTATCTGACCGGATCTTTTGGATTGAGAGACTTTTCTCATTTTGAATTAGTTTCATCAGTTCTGGAAGTTTCTTCTCTGTTTCATTCTTTTTCTTTAGGAATATGGTCCAAGTGTATCTAGAATAATCATCAACTATCACCAGGGTGTATCTTCTACCACTTAAGCTCGTTGGTTCAACTGGTCCAAACAAGTCAAGGTGTAGTAGGCTTAAGGGCCTAGTTGATGATTCCAGTTCCTTTGATTTGAATGATACCTTGGTTTGTTTTCCTTTTTGGCAAGCATCACAGAGATGGTCCTTCTTGAAATTGATTTCAGGAAGTCCTTTCACCAATCCTTTTCTGGACAGTTTGTTGATTGTTTTGAAGTTGAGATGGCTTAATTTGTTGTGCCATTCCCAACTCAAATTTGAATTTGCCTTTGTCACCAAGCAAATCCCTTCCTTTGCTGAGCTCCAATCAACAATGTACATGTCCTTCTTCCTTCTACCAGTGAGCACAATTTTGTCATTTTTGACATCTCTAATCAAGCAGATGTCTTTGGAGAATGTAACATTATAGCCATTGTCACAGAGCTGGCTTGTGCTTATGAGATTGAACTTTAATCCTTTAACATAAGATATGTTTTGGATTGTAAGTCCATTGATGGATAGGTCTCCAGCTCCTTTGGTTTCTCCTTGTTTTTCCACATTCCCAAAAGTAACTTTGGGTCCTTCGCTTGCCATATAGTTTGACAGGAGTCGCCTGCTGCCTGTCATGTGCCTGGAGCAGCCTGAATCTATGTACCATGTCTGTGAGTCAACTGCTCCAGCACCTTCCTGTATTCATCATTGTTGAGCAGTAGCCCACAAGTTAGTGGGCAACTTCCTTTGTACAAGTTTGGGCATCCATGCCCATCTAGAACCATTTAGTTCTAAGCAGATTGGTCTATAGCCATTTGAAGTATTATAATCATGGGGGATGGCTATGTATTTGTTAATCTTTTTTCTTTTTGAAGTGGAAAATGGATTATTGATTTTTGGAGGAGACTGCTTAGTGTTTTGACTGTGGTTGGTCTTATTGGTTGATTGCCAACTGGTTCTTGGGTTTTGATGGTTGGGAAGTTTTTGTCTATACAGGAGATTGGATTTTGATTTGGGAGCAGGCAGGTTCCTTCTTAAGGGAATATTTTGAGAATGGGATTTTTGGTAGATTAGCTTTCTTGTATTTTGTAGGTGGCTTGTGGAGGGTGAGTTTTGAGTGAGTCTGGTGGGGGATACATATCCGAGGCCTCTTTTCTTTCTATTTAAAACAACTTCAGCAGTAGAGTCACTGGTTTTACTATCCATGCTGAAGTTATTCATTTTGTCTTTCAGCTCTTTGTTCTCTTCTTCTAAGACATTGTTTTTGGTTAAGGCATCTAGCAATCTTGTGTGAACAGCCTTAATGTCTTGTTTTAATCTATCATTTTCTGATCTTAAGAGAACATGGTGATTTTGGACTTTTTGGAAATCTTGTAATAAAGATTCCAGAGTAATATTGGTTGGTCCAGAATCACTAGAGCTATAAGAAGAGCAGGATGTTACCTCAACATCATTGTAGTGGTCTTTGGCCATTAGGCATTTAGGGGAGCTGCATTCATCATTTTCACTGAGCCATCTGCTGCTTTCTCCAGTGAGCCAGCTGCCGCCTTTTTCAGCCACCTGCCAGGATCCCAGGCATAGAAGTGCTTCCTCTGAGCTTTCAGATGAAGAGCTTTCATCACTTGAGCTGCTTTCATCTTCAGATTGGGGTTCCTCCTTTTTCTTTTCACTGACAAATGCTTGTCTTTTGCTTTTGAAGTCCCTCTTGTAACTAGCTTTGGGACCAGTCCCCTGCTGCCCTTGATACTTCTGGGCTAAGGGCAGAGGGCATTCATTTTTGTAATGTCCTGGCTGTCTACAGTTGTAGCACAGAACAATTTCCTCACTGGATTGAGGTCTCCCTTGTCTTCTAGGTGGCAGGTTGTATGCTTTCTTTGGAGCAGTTCCCTCCTTCTTCATGAATCTTTTAAATTTCCTCACAAACATAGCAAACTGCTCATCAGTGAGGAGATTATTGAGGGATTTTTCAGCAGATTTTGAAGTGCTTGGCTCAGACACTAGAGCTAGTGTCTTGTATTCATCTTCCTTCTCTTCTTTGATCTCCTTCATTTCAAATTCATAGGCCTTGAGATCACTGAAGAGTTTGTCAGTTGACAAAGTTCTGAGATCTCTGCTATCTCTCATAGCAGTTACCTTCATGTCCCATTTTGATGGCAGGCCTCTTAAGATTTTAAGGGAAATTTCCTTTTGAGAAAGTTCTTTCCCAAGGTCAGAGATCTCTGCCACAATCTTCAGGAATCTGGATTCCATCTCATGGATAGATTCAGATGACAGCATTTTGAAATCCTCAAATTTTTTCAGGGCTATGGTCAGTTTATTGTCCTTCTCCTGTTCATCCCCTGCTCCAATCTTTGTGAGCTCATCCCAGACATCTTTGGCAGTTTCGCATTTCCTGATTCTGGGAAATATAGATTCATCAACAGATTTGAAGAGAATGTCCTTGGCAATGTTGTCAAGATTGTTTCTCTTCCTGTCCTCAGTTGTCCATTCCATTTTGGGTTTTGGAATGTATACATCATCTGTCCCTTCTGTGGTTCTGGATGTGATGACCTTCATTATTTTGATAGGTCCATCAGTAATTACTTCAAGCATCTCATCATGTAAAGCACTGAGATGTGCTCTCATCCTTATTTTCCAGTCATCAAATTTGTTCAAATTGAACAGAAGGTTCTTGGCTAGCTGACTGTCCATTTTTGAAGGTGTTTGGGAAGTAGAGTGGTTTGAATCTTTAGTTCAAATTAGTCAGAAACTGACTCTAGGAACACCCGCTCTGATACCACTTGATGGTCCCGGATAGGGTAAAAGTCTAGAGGGGGGGTGAATAGACTTTTAAATCTTTTTCAATTTAATGAAGTTTTTCCTCTAGATGAATTGATCTATAATCTTTTAAAGAGATTAACAGATGCACAGCGGAAGTCTTTACCCTTTATGTAATACGTGTTTGACCACTTTCTAATTTTGGGAAGATTTGGACTTAGATAGCTAGCAGTGGGCTTGGCAGTTAGCTTAGCAGTAGGCTAGGTAGCAGGAAACTGCTGAGGTAACTGCTAGAGAACCATTGACTTTATGATGAGAGTGATGATGAAACGTTGTTTAGAACGCAAGAAAGATGTCTGAAAAGGTACTTAAGTAAGGTCAAGATGAAGTTTAACTGGAGCAGTGGTCTTGACAGTTGGGTGGTACAAAGGGAACTGCTGAGTCACCTGCTTAGGTTATAGGCAGATTTTCAGAGATCCTTTTAAGCAAAACTTCGTGTGATGATGTTATGAGGATCTGGTGATGTTGAGTTGTTTAAAAGAAATATATGTAAGTGAGCAGGGAGCTCAACAGTTGGGTGGTACTGAGGAGACTGCTGAGGCACCTGCTATACTTTGAAAGTGAATTTCCGAGAACTGACAGAACAACCTTTTTGGTAATGCTTTAGCAAGTGAATTGTATGGAGATAGCCTCAAAGAGAGTGAGTAATTAAGCAGAAGGATAAGCAGTTGGGTCAATTAAGACAACTGCTTAAGATGCTGCTGGCAAACTACAATCTTTATACGAGAAGTGCTGGGTGTGTGTTTTGTTGAATGAAGTGAAATCAACACACGATGTATCCTGGTTCAGAGGTGGTGTAATCCTCCTACGTCCAGTCCCATTCTCTTTCAAATGGATTTCCACTAAAGTATTCAGCCCAATACACTTAGTGCCAATCTAGCCTTTACAACTCTTAGGCCTAGATTGAAGGTTTTTCACAATGAGTATAGCACCACTCAAAGTTACTCAGTCCTTAGACTTTTCTCAATTGATCCAGTGGGGATCAAAAGGTACTCTATCTATCTAACTACACTTTAGGATCCGAACAACTGTTCTCCTAAGTGTTTACAACCACTTGTGAAATGTTACAAGAAAGTTCTAATCTCCAACTATGAACTAAGCTCTAAAAATGTAAAAGTATTGATCTAATCTAAGAGCTTAGTGAAGCATGAGGCTAAGCAGAGAGTAAAGTTGAGTTTGCACTTTCTCTTTTGCTAGATATCTCGTATATGCTTTGATGAAATTACTTCTCTACTTAGGATGCTCAAGCTTATTTTATGAACTCATGCTTCTACCTATATTTATAGGCCTTCATGGTTGATTAATCTCATCCGTTGGTTGAGATGGATTAATCTTGTGCGTTGAGGGTCTGGCTGGGACGAATTGTACATTCGTCTTTTTGTGCAGGAGCTTTTAATCTTTTTGTTTTCTGTCTTGAATAATTGGGCCGCGGCATGGGTTTTGTTTTCAGCCGCTGCAGCTTCACTCCAAAAGGACGTCCCATGCTGTAGGACCATGTACCTGTTTAAGTTTTTAATGCTAGTCAAGTTTTGTCTTCCAATCATACACCTTTGATGTATATGATTTTTCGAGCATCTTTAAAATGTGACATTTATTTAATCTTTGAGCCAAATGATATGTGCCGGTTGGATCTAAATATCCGTTTAAGGTAAACAAAAAGTACCTTATTGCATTTTTACTTTTTCCGGTACTATTTCATTAGTCTCAAAAATTGTACATTTATTTTGTCACATTTGAATAATTTGAGTGCTACTTCTTGAATTTAATTTAGACACAATGTACGGGTGCAAAGTATAGTGGCATCATCAAAATCTTATCAAAATTGGGTACTAACAATTGCCTCACCAAGAAACTGTTGCTTGGCTACATCCAATTTCCCAAAAAGAAAAAGTCGAATGAAACTGTATCAATCTGTCTTTGTACAGTGAGCATCAGTTCCAACCTTAGTGCAATGGTTGTACCCAATGGTATGTAAAAAGTCTCTGATCTCCTTTGCACTGCTATTGCTTGCTTGTAATAAGCGTTCATCTTCCTCATAGATTAGGTAAGGGGCCTCACCTGCCCTTCTTGACAGTAACTTTGAGGCACCCTTGAGAACGTGATACTCCCACCCCTGGACATCTATTTTGACCAGCAGAACAGATTCTGACTCCATAACCATGGCATCTAGAGGAACCGTCTTTACTTCAACTGCAATCTCTTCATTTGACTTGAATGCTAACTTTGCGCCAGTGGCTGACACCGCACTATTATCAAGCCGGCCAACCAGCTATAAAAAATCATCAGTAATCAAATGAATGACATGTCAGCATAATAAATAAATCATAAAACATCTACAATGGTCATAAAAGTGACAAAAAAGTACAGCTCCAAATCAAAGAACGTGTATGCAACATAAACTTCTTTGCGATAATGAAAAAATACAATAAAATAAAAGTACTAGACATAAATATGACTTTTGTATACATATAACATTTTGCAATAATTGTAATGACGATGTTCAATTTTAGGGATGGGGATCCTCTGCTGTGCGGCAGATACCTTGCCGTAGGGGAGCCGTCGGATGGGGAAGGTTACGCCTCCAGATTTGGACTTCGAAATCTTCAACCGTCGAAATATTGATCGGACGATGCAGAGAAGCCGGGCAGAGTGCCTTACTCTGAAGTAAGGCAGACACCCCGGGTCCCAATTTTAGACTAGAGTGACCATGTAGTGTAAAATATATTAAAAATAACCCCAATTTGTGTTCAATTTTTTCTGAAAAGATATTTTGCAAGGCATTATAGAGGCTTAAAAGGCATGCATACAGACCTTCAGGTTTAAGCTAAAAGAACTACTTCAAGTTTACTATAATTGATCCCACTTGGCATCATGCATTAGGTAACTAGGCCACTGAAGAAAGACCTAAATAGGGCAAGAATGTGAATTTCGATCTAAGATTACTAAAGCATCTAGACATCTGCAAAAAGCAATTTTGTAAAAATCGCCAGGAGCAGGGAAGGTTATAGGCAGTAGCCTAGTGCATGGAATGGATTGGTTGTGGTTAGGCTCTATCTAAAATCTAAATAGCATTAAGTGGCACCTAACTGGTATAAAAGATCTAGGCATTCAAGGACATCCCAACGCTTAGGCTGAGATTAATATAGTTAGGTGTTTGTTACAACATGGTAAAGAAAGAGAAAAGTTAATAATCCAACAAAAAACATGTTTTTTTTCACAATATTCTAGCATTACTGCAAGTCTGTAACAAATGAACGGTTATACACCAATACTCCAGATGAGCTAAAATCCATAAAGGATCACTATAAAATTAAATAGGAACAACACGACACACCATCACTGCCACAAGGGTTCAATTACAGAATGCCTAATTCCATATGTAGCAAAGCTTAGGTTAGCTGTAATTATAACCACCAGGCCTGTCCCTTGAGGAGTTCATACGGATCACATGAACATGGCTTTAAAAGTAAGAGGCCCATTTTTAAAAATATATTAAACTCATTTCTATATAACTATACTTATTAGTCTAATACCATATAACCATGTGAGATTGTGAACAACCTAACTTCTTCAACACTTAAAATTGTACGAAATATCAAAATAGCAACGTGCGTTTCTTTTGAGCAAGTAGAGTGGCTTGATTGTTCAGTTCGTTCGTATTGTTTTTATGCCACGATTTGGGGATGATAAGAAATGTTCAATGATCATTACACAGAAAGCATAATATTTTCATATCTGTATATTTCGAGATGAAAAAGAAATATTGAAGTAATCTCCTATCAAAGTTTACAAACCTAAGGCTGAATATACAGCACACAAGAACACTACATTAAAGTTATATTTGGTACGCCAATGAATATAGTAACATACCTTGTGAAATGTAATGTTTCCTAATCGATCAGAAGCTGCAGCTTCGTAGACTTCCACCAACTCCCCAACTCTATTGAAGTAAACCCCTTCACAGATCTTCTGCAAGTTCTCAAAAACAGGCTCAAAGGCAAGAACTTTAAACCCCATAACAGCAGCTGCAAATGTGGCCATTCCCACATTAGCCCCCACGTCCACGAAAATCCCATTTCTGCCCTCCTCCTTCATTTTCTCCAACAACCGTTGCACAGTCTCAGATATGTCAGGCTTCCTGAAGGGCTTTCCCTTCAGTGTCCGGTTGATATTCTTGTGTGGCTTTTCTGGTAAATTTCCGAAGTCTGAGAGGGAGAAGAGGAACGGGTATTTGAGACCTTCCACTAGATTTGCAATCACAGGGTGCGCTTGAGGTGAGGAGTAGCAATCAAACGGCTTTAGCGAGCGCTCAAAGATCGGATTTTTGACAGATTTGAGGGTTCTTGGATATTGGTTCTGGGTTTGAGAGGCAAGGTAGAAGAAGATGAGGAGGAGGAGGGAGGTGGAGAGGAAGAGGAGAAGATTCTTCGGGTCGCGAATCTTGGTGGATTGGTTTCTTCTGAAACCATTTGCCATGGAAACTAAAAACACTTGTTGGACTTTTTAATGGGACAAATCTTTGGTTCTGGTGTGTTTTCCCCAATTAATGCAGGAAAAAAGGTGGGGAACTGCAAGATTGGATCTTGATCCTTGGTAAAAATACTACGGAGTAATACGTCTTGTGAGGCACAGGAAAGTATCCCGCGGCCCAGGAAAGTAATCCTCGCGTTGCTAACAGAGAAGAGTGGTTGTGTTTGTTCAGCAAATACGAGTTTTTAGTTTTTACAGGAACACACTAACATCATCAATGAATTTGAAAAATAAATACTTTATTTTTTTTAGTTGAAACACTTTCCTTTTCGGGAAGTTTCATAATAATTGCAACCCTTCTATTTTAAGACATAAAAGTGTATGCAATTATCTTTAATACCCTTAATGAATCTCATCACCTCTGTCCTATCGGTTCCTTTCATTTCTTTTAATCTTCTCTTTATTATCCTCCACCCACTCCTTTATTATCCTCCACTCACTCCTTTATCTCTTTTCTTCCTTTCTAACTTCTCTCTTTACGGAGATCTCCCATCCCTTTCTTTATTTCTTCAGGCAATAGTGGATGCTGAACATTCAACAACAATTACAGTATGATAGAAGCTTGAGTAGGGGTGGAAACAGGCCAGGCCACACTTTTGCCTAAACAGGTCGGGCCTGTTTTAGAATATATAGGCTTGGGCCTGGCCTGTTACCTGTTAAAGGCCTGTTTTTTCGGCCTGAGCCTGGCCTGCTTAAAAGCCTGGCCTGACCTGAAGCCTGTTTAGGAAAAAATAACAATTTCATAAAAACTCAAAATAAAAAGTGACAAATATTATTAACTCGGTATAAATTTCATCTTTCAAAATATTCACTAAAAAGTCTACTGATACATTAGTTTTTCTTTGGATGACTAATATGACATTAATTCTGCTGCTTATAAATATTTATGTATTTGACATCTTAAAAAATTTTGAATATCAGTTATCCTAATAACCTATTAACACATTTTATATATTTAATAGAAATAGTATTCTAATTTATAGAATTATAAAATATGCTCCGTCAAAAACACTTTTATGCCTAACTTGTTATAGTTAAGTATACTAATATAAATATTAATATAAATAATACAAAATAAATACAAATAAATATATATATACATACATACACACATACATACATACATACACACACACACATAAATAGGCCGGTCTGTTAAGCTAAAAAGGCTTTAGAGTCTGGCTAAGCCTTGCCTGTTTACACAAACGGGCCTTTTGAAAAGCTCAAGTCTTGCTTGTTTATTAAACAGGCCAGGCCAGATCAGGCCTTAAACAGGCCAGGCCGCAGGCCCCTGACAGGCCGCAGGCCCCTGACAGGCCGCAGGCCCCTGACAGGCCGCCTGGCCTATTCCCACCCCTAAGCTTGAGGATGAAGCTCTCGTGACTCGATTGTTCAGAAGAAGAAAACCCAATTTCCGAAGATTATGTTGCGTGAGAGAAGGATGGTCTATCATCCCAAATTCGGCCTGAAGGACAAGCAGGTTCTGTGAAATACAGAATACTTTGGCCAGACCGATTTAAAGAGAAAGAGTGTTATAAGTGAGGTAATTTACCTGGCTATCTCTATAAAATTTGGGGATCATTTTTTGATTAATTTCTATGCTCTGAATTTTTTGGTTATTGTTGAGATATATTATCTCGGTCCATTACTGTTCAGGAGTCCAAGGCATCGCCCCAGCTTAGAGCCCGAATGACAAGGTCCATTTCAGCATATTAGGCATGTTTTGGCCCTTTGGGCCCATTTTGGGCTTACTTGGCCCATTAGGGTAGACTTGTTCCCTACCCCCTTTTCCCTATAAATAGAAGGCTTTCCCTCCATGTTATGGGTTGACATCTTCATCCCTTTCTTCTTCCTCTTTCACCCTAGATTAGCTTTATCCTCCATTAATGGAGCTTGAATATTTGTACCTTGTAATGGTGAGGAAAGTCCTAATGAGAAAGAGAGGGCTTGGACATTAGCCTAAAAAGTCCCGTGGTTTTCTCCCTTTCGGGTTTCCACGTAAAAACCGAGTATTCATACACATTTATACATATATTTACTATATCATGTTGGATTAAACTCAACAGTTATGTTAATTTATGGTTTTAGCAAGGTTCAAATTAGGCCTGGACTCGGGCCGGTTCGGGCCCGGTTCGGGCCTGGGCCCGGCCGGGCCTCGGGACAGGAAAGTTGGGCCCGGGCCCGAACCGCCGGTGGGCGGTTCCGGTTCCGGTGACGGGCCAAACCGGGCCGGGCCGGGCCGGGCCTAACTGGTTATAATTTTTTTTTTTGGCTCTTCTATTTAACCCCAACCCCTCCCCCTCAACCCCAAACCACCCCAAACCACCTCAAATGGCCCAAAATACCTAATCCAACCCAAAACTTAAAAAAAATTCAAAAAAAAAAAATTAAAAACCAGCTCGAACCGGGCCCGAACCGGCCGGGCCAGTTCGCCAAAACCTGGGCCCGAGCCCGAACCGCCCAGCAGCCGGGCCGGGCCGAACCGAACCGGTGGACCCACCGGGCCCCGGGCCGGGCCGGGCCAAACAGTAACCGGGCCGGGCCGCCCGGCCCGAGTCCACCCCTAGTTCAAATTCCTTGATTTGTTAATTTTTGGGTTTTCACATTTTGTAAATTATGACTACCTTAGCTAATTTCATTTTGTTGTCTTCTACTGAGTATAAATTTTTAGTTGGTTTAATAATTGTTGAATTAGCGAATTTAATTGCTAGAGATATACTGCCTTTTTTATCGAGTCTACCTTTAAGTAGTAAGTTGGTCTGTTCTAGTGAATTGAATTGCAATAAAATCACAGCATGTATAGTATCACTACCTGCTGCAATTTTGAATGTGGTTCTGCAATTTTCGAATTCTGTAATCTTTCTCCAATACTTACCTTTCAATGTTACTGCAAATTTTCATCTGGTATTGTAATCTTACTTTGCAATTTCTTCAAATGTTCACAAACTCTAAACTGCCATTAAAAAGTTAGTACACAAAAAACTAATAAAGACAGTTTTTAACTTCATTACATACTTCAAACTTAGGCTGCCAAAACTATACCTTTTTACAAAAAACTATCTGCCTTCACATACTAACTGCCTTTACAAAATGGTAGTTGCGTTCATATATTAACTACCCAGTGGCGTCTTTGGGGGGAGTTACCGTATGCACCATGCCTAGGGCCTCCACCTCTAAAGGGCCTCGTTTTTTTCATCTCTTTTATAAAAAAATGTATATTTAATTAATTAGTTAAGCAAATAAATAAATAAATTGTAATGAAATTGATAATGACATAAACAAATACTAATTATGTACTACCTTTGAGCCACCCAAGTTTGTTAACTTTTTTATTTAGTTGTTCAAAAATATTGAATATCCTTTTTAAAGTAGTGATTTATAATGTCAAATTTATATAGATACGTGAAAAAATCCTACTGGTTAATTTATATTCTCATATTATTAAATTTAGAGATTTTTAATGTTTTTCATTAAATAATAAGAAAGTGATTATAATGTACTAAAGCAATTATAATTTATTATAATATTTATTTTATCTTGAAAATTTATATCTTTCTCGTTAAAAATCTTTGTTGAAACTTAAAAGGAGAGATTATTGTATTATTTATTCTTATTAATGTGCTAATTGTTATAAAATGCAGAAGTACTTAGACTACAAACAATTTGATAATGTTTTGTATTGAGAAAAGGGATAATTTCAGTACACATAAAACTATTATTCCCACCCGACAGAATATGTTCAAATTCTAGTTATTATATTTATGTAATTAACTTTCATATTTTAAATAGTTTTGATTTTAAAAATATAATGGTTAAAACTTGACCATCATTGAAAAAGTATACAATAACATTGAAACATTAATAATCATTCGTCAAATCGGTGCAACTATTCTGTTTATTAGTTTTATTTGTATACCTTTTACGGTGTTTTAATTTTTTGCCTGGGGCCTCAAATTCTCCAAGGACGCCCCTGTAACTACCTTTACAAAATGTTGTTCACAGTAGTAAACAAGGCAGTTTTTTTTTTTACTTCCATACATATTTCAAAAGTAGGTAGCAAAAAGTAACTACCTTTACAAAATGTTGTTCACAAAATACTACCACTAAACAAGGCAGATTTTTACTTCATTGCATATTTGCATTAGAGCAAGATTCAATCAAATGTATGTGTATTGGTTGAGCCAACACCTACATTAAAATGAATTTCACCCTCCACCATGTACTCCAATGTTTCTTCAATTAGATCATTCGGAACATCAATTTGTTTTGGTAGCAGCCCCATGTGATCCAACTTCCTTTTCCCTCTATGGGGGTTCTTGTAGTTTTTGTCACCTTTAACTTTTAAAAAACTTCTAGCATAACATATTGAAGATGCAGCCAAGTATAATTTAATAGTTTTGGCTCATAATCATTAAATGCATCTTGGACTGCAGTGACTAGTTCATCTACATTCTTAGGAAAATAAAAGCTCTATGTTGAATTGACTGAATACCTCTAAAAAATCCCAGATCAAGTATGTTCAGATTCGGGCTTTGGGCGGGCTGGCATGTTAGTTTGATATTGAACCCAAATGTAGTAGCAGCTTCAGTAAATTGTTCATCATGCACATTTATATGAGGCCTAGCATTATCTTGTTGAATCCAAATATCTTTGCATGCATAAGATGGCCACTTGTTCCTTATAGCCAGTAAAACTGAAAAAATCAATTTGGCCCTAATAATGTCTTTTGTAACACTTTGTATTGCTTTTGTCTCTGGAGTGCCAGCACTCCTATTAACTGAGCTTGTTTGTGCACAAACAACTTTTGTGAATGGAAAAATTCCAATTTTACCATCCCATAAAACTTGCCCTTCAACTGAAATGTGTGGTCTTGCTACTGCAGCCAAGAACATCGCCTTTCTAATGAATTTTTTGCTTTGACAGCTTCTATATGGATCATCCTCCCAAGGAAATAGGTAAAACTTTTGCGTTTGTGTTGACATGTAGAACCACTTCTCGTCTATGTGAACCATGTTGTACATTGAACTAAACTTAGGGATTGTGTGCATTTGCAATTTTGCTGCAGACCAGAGTCTCCATATAGTGGTTCTGTGGACTTTAAACTCTGCAGCAATCTGAGACACAGCTCCTTTTGGTAGATTTTTACCATCGGCTAGTAGCAGAAGTTTTTCTATAAGGTGTTTTCTTTGAATATTTTTCAGCTCCACCTTTTTTCTCCCAGATGATTGTATTTCTTCCTCACTTTCAGTTTCAGATAAGAAAGAAGACGATATGGCTGCATCTGGGTCGAAGTCAAAAAGCATGGCCTCCTCCATTTCAAGAAGCTCTTACACTGAAATTTCTTCGTCCATTTATGGAGCACCGGACTTTTGCGTATTTTGTTTTTGCTAGGCAGAGCTCTTTGGTTGTCTGAATTTGTAAAATGCTAACTTCTCTCGTGACTACTCTGTATTTAATGGATCCGGAGCCTCTATCTTACTTTAAAGTAAGGTAGGGTGCCTTGCTTCTTCCGGGTCGTCCGATCAACAATTCAACGGTCGGAGATCTTGGGGCTCCACTTTTTCGCTAATCTCGAGGCCTGCTTTGCTACTGCCCGACCGTCCGATGCGCAAGGCACCGTCCTAGTCGGGCAGAGGATCCCAATCCGTATTTAATGTAGGCTCCCTCAATTATGGAGGGAAATTTGTTTTTTTCACTATGGCAAGTCCCTCCAATTTTTGGGATGATAGAGTTGTAAAGTAGGAAGTGACATGCCATTATTCTTTGTACTCTTCTACTTTTTAAAAAACAATTGCTTTATGTACCGTAAGGTTTTTGTCAGGTCTCCAGAGGTTTGTTTTAAATTGTTGAAGGGTATAAAGGGGAAAATATTACTTTATCCCAATTTCTTAATTTGTGTGCCTTGAAGGTATGTTGCATCTAAATAAAAACGGAGGGTAGTATATTATTGATATTGAATTGATAAAGTAAAAGTAAAATAAAAATAATTTAAAGTCACAAAAAATTACCAAATTTGGTATGACATAATTTTAGTGAAATTTCGAAAAATTGGACAATCTTAACGAAATTAACGGAGTAGTATATTATGAGCATATCCTTTATGAATAAAAACACGCGCCATTGGATTTCACTTTCATCCATCACATGTTTTCATTTATATTTTTTTTTGTAAATTTAGGAGTGTTCTGACTTGACGTGTGTATGTGTGGAATTATTGAACTTAGAGCATCTTTAGTGGGCAAGTGGATTGCACCACATAAAAAATGGACACATCACCTCTATAGACAACCATGGATCTGATGTGGATGCATAGACTTTTTTAAAAAAATAATGTGCTTCAATGGTACAATTCTTCAACGCCACATCGTAATGTTATAATTAAAAAAACAGCCCACCGCATATGGTGCACCGTAATCCTCTTCTAAAACCAGCCCAACCGCCCACTACAGTATAACTTGAAAAAGAGATGCAACCAGAAACAAGACAGCCAGAGAGAAGACAGCCGAAGAAGAAGAAGCAGCGGATGCCACCAGATTCAACGGCAACGGCGGCAGATCCAAGTATCCAAGCGTACAACTCGATGCTCAGATAGATGCCTCTCCAAATTTACCCCAGTTTGGTTCTTTCACTGCAAATGTCACCGGCAGAAATCTGAAAAAATGGGACAAATCTAGGATTGTGACACCGAGCAGAGGGGGTGAGACCAGTTGGGATAGCTACCGGTTGAGGACGGCCTCACCTGCGACGACGGGTATTCATCAGCGATGACACAATTAAAGGTGGACCCCTTGCGACGTGACCGGACAAGGACGCCTCCCTGCGAAGGTGGATCTTCAGCGATGGTACGTAAAGGAAGCTTTGTGCGCCCAATTGCGACCAAACGGTGATCCTTTGATGAGTCAGACTGTCAAACGGACCTTCTGAAAGTAGAGGGGGGAGTCCACACCGTGCATTGAATTCAATTCCAGCTCAGCAGAACACTTCCTATAGACAATTCCGTTGGAGCATCTTATTTAACCCCAATTTCTATTTATCTGATTTGGCAATGCATTTTAAGTAATCCGTTTTCCCATTAAAGATGCTCTTAGGGAGAGGTACTGCTCTATCGCAAAAAGGAGGGAAGTGAGAAGGCTGGGATAAATTGTTTGGCCCATGGCTCAAAGCACCCAAAGGAAGAATGCACGTGGGAGATGACAAATGGCTAGTAGCGAGGGGCAAAGGACCTATAAAAGGAGTAAAAGGTCAGTTTGGTCCTCAAAGTTGGATAAAAGGAGTCAAATAAGTCCTTATATAGAACATTCTGTCCGGACGTGCCATTTGAGGCGGTTCCCGGTGGAATTTTTTGATGAATTTTTTTGAGCATCTTATTCATTAAGTCTAGTTCACTCATACCATATTTCAGATAAAAATTCAATCGGGAAGACAATCAAATGAATTATTGAAGATAACTGTGCAGTTAAAAGCGCAGTTATCTTCAAGAATTCATTTGAATGTCTTTCCGATTGAATTTTTATCTGAAAATTTGTATGAGTGAACTAGACTTAATGAATAAGTTGCTCAAAAAATTTCATCAAAACATTCCACCGGGAACCGCCCCAAATGGCGACGGCCGGATGGAACCTCCTATATAAGGACTTAGTTGACCCCTTTTATGCAACATCGAGGACCAAACGAAGAGCATGGTGGTATGTCCAAGGAAAGGTGGTCAGTAAAAATTGGGGAGAAATGGAGCAAAAACCACGACGAATTGACAGGACAAGAGACATTCATGCAAATAGTGATATGGATGTAGAGCAAATCCTTACAAAATACAGGAGAGAGACGAGTTGTAGCTCCGTGATTCGTCTGTCACACCATTGAGACCTTTCCAATTGCAACAAAAGGAGTGTAGAGGGATGAGATTCCACAAGACATGCAACTTTTATTTCGTTTCGATTTTATTAAGTACTACTACCTCCGTCCCACTAAGATTGTCTCATTTTACTATTTTGGTTCGTTTCACTAAGATTGTCTCATTTTATCATTTTGGTTCGTCCCACTAAGATTGTCTCATACCAAATACGACAAAGTTTGTGTGACTCTAAATCATTCTTACTTTATTCTTACTTTATCAATTTAATATCAACCACATAAACCACTAGTTTGTGTGTCACTCCCTTTTGTCCTATTGTTAGCTGGACGGAGGGAGTATGTTTTTATTGTTTTGTTGACAATGGGGGTAGGCGTTTCTTTGTGTTATTGTCATTGCTCGAATTTTGGATGAAGGCGATAAGGTTTGTTTGGTCCTTAAAAGTTTCAAATCTCTCACAGGTTCAATGATTAAAAATTGGGTGGTCTATACTATTAAAAATTATAATACAAAATGTAATCTGAGATATGCAATTAAAAAACGGAAATTGTCCTAAATAGGACTAATGAGTTCCTAAAAAGCACAAATAGGACTACTACTTTTTAAATTCCCTAAATAGGACTAAACATAGATTTTCTACCCTAAATACCCCTAAGAGTATTAATTCATAATGAAATGCTTTAATTCATAATAAAATCATAAAAAAACGAAAAAAATATTTAAAAAACGTAAAAAATTATAAAAAATTTATAAAACATTTATAAAATAAAAAATTTAATTTTTATTTTTTAAAATTTTTTTAAAAAAATAATAAAAAATAGTAAAAACCCATAAAAAATGAAAAAAATTATGGATACATTTCCCACCGCCATACGCCGCCTCCCAGCACCACTACCTCCGATTGGTGAAATTTCTTCCACTTTTGGTAAAAAAATGCCATCTTTTTCTGAAAATGCCAAAAAGATGGCATAATTACTCTTCAATATGCCAACATTTTCATTGAATATGCCATCATTATGGCATTATTTAAAATGTTGGCATATTTTTCTCCGGTGATGGGAGCTGGTGGTGCTGGGGGGTGGCAGGGGTGGTAATGTTTTTTTTTTTAATTTTTCGATTTTTTTTTTATTTTTTTTAAAAAAAAATTATTTTTTTTTTAATTTTTTTAAAAAATATTTTTATTAATTTTCTATTATCTTTTTACGATTTTTAGTATTTTTTCGATTTTTTATTATTTTTGTATGATTTTATTATTAATTAAAACATTTCACAAGTTACAAGGGTATATTTGGTCAAACACACATAAATAGTCCTATTAAGGGAACTTAAAAAATGTAGTCCTATTTGTGCAATTTTGCCACTTTTTAGTCCTATTTAGGGAATTGACTCATTAAAAAATAGTTCAAAATAACTCGCCGCTAAATAAATAAGTAAAAATGTCATGCTGGCCCTAGCCCACCTCTAAATATTACGGAATATTTCATATATTTAGGGTCCGTTTGGCAACACATAAATTAAATGAATTAGTGGATTATGTTAAAAATGATCAAACTGTGAACGCAACCGCTGAATTAGGATGTTTTCTTTTGGACTGAAATTTGCTGGTCTGGTCTGGTCTGATCTGGTCTGGTCTGGTCTGTTTAAGTTTGGTCTGGTCTGAACTGGTCTGGTACTCTGGTCTGGTCTCGTAAACGTCTGGTCTATGTGTATTTTATAACTATCCAAGTCTGGTCTGGTCTGGTTTGTTTATGTCTGGTCTGGTCTGATCTGATCTGGTCTAGTCTGGGACTGAAAACAGTCCAAAAAAAACATTCTTAACAGAATCTGCAGAATCGAAAAAAACAATATACGTTCGTATTATGGGAAAAATTTTATGAAACGGAGTGAATAATTTTTTTTCAACTACGGAGTATAAATTTGCATAAGTTAAAAAAGAACTACTGTAGTACTGTTCCAAGATATGGTCAACTTGGACCCACGGCAAGAGCAATCAAAGGATTCAATCCAATACAGAACACTTGTGTAATCACTTGTGTTTAAATATAAGTACTTTTTGGGAAAAAGTGATATAAAAGTTGATAGTGTTTGGTAAAATAAGTACTTTTTGTGTAATAGAAAAAGTAAAAAGTAGATTCTACACAAAAATCGAGAAAATAAGTTGGTAATATTTGATAAAATAAGTGTTTTTTTCTTAAAAAAAAAACACACAATCCCTCATTTAAAATAGTCTCAAGGTCACTACACTCACTACAGCTTGAAGCACAACAAATGACTGATGAGTATCTAAAATACAGCCACCAATGCGGTTCAGAGGTTGCATGCCATTAAGGGCCCAAATTCTTTGACCATCTCCTTCCTTTATTGGCAGGTTACAGTTTACCGCTCAAAAGCTGGCGAGACTCTGTAAGAAACAAGTTTTGGCATTCAAATTTGGATATCCATTCAAATTCTCATCTGCACCTGCATCAAACTTTTTTGGCTCTACTCAATGCAGAAAGTATTCCAAGAATTATGGGCTTCAGTGCCTTGTCGACCACCCGAATCCGGAAATCTCCGTCTTTTTCCAGAGAGGCTTCTCCGAGATCACAGACGGAATGACCGGAAGAGCAGTTCATGCAATATGCGTAAAGGAGTCCCATTTAGACATTTTCCGCCATAATACTCTGATCAAAATGTACTCCAAGTTTGGGAGAGCTGAGCGTGCCCGTCACGTGTTCGACCAGATGCTTGAGAGAAATGAAGCGTCTTGGAATAACATTATTTCTGGGTACGTTCTTACAGGCCGGTATTGTGATGCAGTTAGACTATTCATTGAGATGTGGGGTCTAGGGATTGAAGTAAATGAATATACTTTTGCTAGTGTATTGACTGCATTGAGTAGGTCTGAGAGTATGTGTCTTGAAGGATATCAAGTTCATGGTGTACTCTTGAAGCGCGGTTTATTGTATAATGTTTTTGTGGGAACTTCTGTGTTGCATTTTTATGGTGTCTATGGTCTTACTTCTGATGCTGCAAACGTTTTTGAGGAAATGCCTATGAGGAATGTGGTGACTTGGACTTCTTTGATGGTTGCATGCTCCAATAATGGAAATACGGAGGAAGTTATAAGTTTATATAAGAGAATGAAGAGTGAAGGGACCAGTTGTAATCAGAACACCTATACTGTAGTGATTAGTTCGTGTAGTTATCTTGAAGGTGATTGTGCGGGTCATCAAGTGCTAGGCCATGTCGTAAAATCAGGGTTTGAAAATAATGTTTCAGTGGCTAACGCTCTAATTTCGATGTTTGGTAATTTTAACTTTGTAGAAGAGGCTTATCGTGTTTTTGAAGGCATGACTGAACGTGACACTATATCTTGGAATTCAATCATATCTGTTCTGGCACATAATCAACTTTGTGAGGAAGCATTTAGATGTTTCTATTTTATGCTTTGTCAACACGATGATATAGATTCAACGACACTTTCCTCCCTTTTGTCAGCCTGTGGTTCTGTAGATAATATAAATCAAGGTAGAACAATGCATGGTTTGGTGATCAAACTGGGATGGAATTCAAATATATGTATTTGTAACACTCTTCTTTCAATGTATGCGGATGCTTTACGATGTTCAGATGCTGAAAATTTGTTCCACAACATGCAAGAGAAGGATTTAATTTCTTGGAATTCTATGATGGCTGGGTATGTTTTGATAGGTGACGTCTTCAAAGTCTTAAACTTTCTTACTGAGTTGCTTCACATGGGAAAGTCAGTAAGCTATGTGACTTTTGCTAGTGCGCTGGCTGCATGTTCTAATGCTGATTATCTTACTGAAGGGAAGATATTGCATGGACTTGTTATGACATCTGGGTTGCAAGACAATTTGATAGTTGGAAATGCATTAGTCACCATGTATGGGAAGCATGTTATGATGGTGGAGGCTGAAAAGGTGTTCTTTAAGATGCCAGTAAAAGAGTTGGTTACTTGGAATGCATTAATTGGTGGCTATGCTGCTGGTCATCAAACCAACGATGTGGCAAGAATTTTTAAATGGATGAGAGAGTGCAGTGTGACCTCAAACTACATTACAATAATAAATGCACTTGGCTCCTGCTCATCTCCTGTTGATCTCCTGAGTGCTGGAATGCCGTTGCATGGACATATAGTTCTAACTGGTTTCGAGGAAGATGAGTATGTGCGGAACTCACTCATAACTATGTATGCCGAATGTGGGGATCTCAAGTCAAGCAACTTTATATTTACTCAGGTGGCTTACAAGTCTTTTGTGACTTGGAATGTCATGGTTTCTGCAAATGCCCACCATGGCCTCTGGGAAGAGGCTTTGAAGCTTCTTCTTGATATGCAGAGGGCTAACGTGGAGTTAGATCAATTTAGCCTTTCTTCTTCCCTTTCAGCTGCAGCAAACCTGGGGAGTCTGGAGGAAGGCCAACAGCTTCATTGCTTGGCTACTAAACTTGGTTTTGACTCATACCATTACATAAAAAATGCTACGATGGATATGTATGGGAAGTGTGGTGAACTCAAATATGTGCTCGAAATCCTCCCTAAACCAAATACCCGATCACGCTTGTCTTGGAACATTTTGATGTCTACATTAGCCAGACATGGACTTTTTCGTGAAGCCAGGGAAGCCTTCCATGAAATGCTTAAGCATGGTACAAAGCCTGATCATGTTACTTTTGTCTCTCTTCTGTCTGCATGTAGTCATGGGGGCTTAGTGGATGAGGGTCTCAAGCATTTTGCTTCAATGACTACCGGTTTTGGGGTCCCAGTTGCTATAGAGCACTGTGTGTGCATGGTTGATATGCTTGGAAGATCAGGAAGACTTCCTGAAGCAGAGGCGTTCATCAAAGAAATGCCGGTGCCTCCAAATGACTTTGTTTGGCGGAGTTTGTTGGCAGCATGTAGGATGCATGGGCATGCCGACCTGGCAAGAAAAGCTACCGACTTTCTTCTGACATCTAATCCAATGGATGACTCTGCTCATGTTCTGTATTCCAATGTCTGTGCGAATTCTGGGAAATGGCAGGATGTCCAGCTCGTTAGAGCCAATATGGAATTAAGCAGCATCAAGAAGCAGCCGTCTTGCAGTTGGGTTAAAATGAAAGACAAAATTTACACTTTTGGTATCGGAGACCGATCCTACTCATTGTCTGAGCAGATATATGACAAACTGGGGGAGTTGAGGAAAAGACTTCAAGAAGTTGGATATGTCCCTGATACAAGTTTCGCTTTGCATGACACGGATGAGGAACAGAAGGAACACAATCTCTGGTGCCATAGCGAGAAACTTGCCCTTGCCTATTCTTTGGTTACTACCCCAGAAGGTTCAAAGCTTCGGATTTTCAAGAATCTACGAGTTTGTGGTGATTGTCATTCCGTCTTTAAACTTGTAAGCAGCTTAGTCAGGAGAGAAATCATATTGAAGGATCCTTATCGGTTTCATCATTTTAGTGGTGGCAAGTGTTCTTGTGGTGATTATTGGTAACCGTGTATACGATGTTATGGTGAGTGGTGACTTGCCAAACTTATCCAAGAATCAACCAAAAGATACGAATGAAAAACATTCCATAAGCACGGGAAGTTTCTTATGTGGGTAAGTTTTATTCATAGTAATGGCAGAACTTCATCTAGAATATATAATAGCTTGAGTTGATTGAAGTTTGTTGCCCTTCATATACTCACTTGTCACTTGGCTTTAATGAGTAAGGAAATTTAAGGATGAATCTTTGAGATCAGAAGTTTTACAATGATGGCTAATGGCATTATAAAACTACTGTGGTTATAAGTTATATCTTTCAAATTTTTGGAGAATTATATATAAAGTTTTAGGTTAATGGTTGAAAAAGGTTAAACCTTCACCCCAATTACAAAATTCAATTTCAGCCCTGCATGAACCTGTAAGCTTCCAGACCTCTGTCTCTGCACCTAAGAAAATTTAGTCACAAACACTACATATTCTCTGATACCACTTTGCTTTAGTTATCTCATTCCTTCAGATTGATATTTGGCATTCTCAATGACTCCTCTCAAGCTAAACTTTTCCTGTGAAGTATTTTGTCTTTATCTTTTTTCTATTTTGTTAATATTTTGCTCAAAGGAGTGAACTTTATGTGCATATATCTGGACTTTCTATTATTACATATCATTGAGATTTAACCTATTACTGAGGCCAAAATTTTGAATTTAGATTTTTACGTTACATGAGCTTACCAGTATGTAGAGTCAACTCTTATATCTACATATGTTCAATTCTTGTTATATGTTCTTTGTTTCTGTTGTTATTAAAAACATGCTGCTTTTTAGCTTTTGAACTAAACAGATACTGTTTTGAATTTTTATGCAATTCTATTGTTATATGGCATACAACAGTGATACACAGGAATTTATGTAGAAGAAGCATTGAAAAAGTTTAGTAGTCATGTATTACTTTAAAACAATGCTTTTTATTTGCATTTCCTCATCCTCAGAGTTTGGATCCTTATTAGGGGAATAGTATGACCAATAGACTTGAGGGCTTCATTTATGTAGTTGGTGTCATGCCTCAAATTCTCATACATAGCCCTACAAATATCATTTTCTTTATGTTCTTTTTTGTGTTCTTGACATGCATGTGTTCATTACCTCTCGCTTACAATAATCTAGATTCTTGTTTCTGGTTTCCTAAATGTCAAGCCAAACAAATTGTGGTTCACTAGAACACTGATAGGTAACACCACACTCCAGCTGAAATATAGGTATATTGATACTATAATCCTGATAATATGATCAGAAATCTAGGTATTACAGCTAAAACAATGAAAAAGAAGATCTGAAAAATATAATACGAATATTAAGGACAATTTTGAGAGTGTCAATCTCTCCTGCCCAGATCCAATTGACTACCAGAATGCCTTTCTCTTCCCTCCTTTCTCTAGCTTTATTCTTTCATCATGATGAGCCTGCCACCTTAGCTACTCTGTTATTAGATTCCCACTACTCTCAGCTGTTTCTTTTCCCCCTTTGCCCCTTCTTTTATAGACTATTGAGAAATCGCTATTATAATTAATATCAGAGCTGCCTCAACTGTCTGAAACTCTATCAAACCCACTCAGATCTTGAATTCTTCTGAGCAGACCAAGGACTAACCAGAAATTTTGGTAAAACCAACTTTGGTAAAACTAATCCTAGAGGCCAATCTCATAGTGACACAAAAGATCGACACCAATGAATCTATAAATCACCACGTGATTTATACAATAGTAATATATAACTACACCCTTCATCAATTCCACAGGGCATGAACGGCTGCCGCTATAGTTCAAAAGTTCTAACCCCTGATTCCCCTTCTTGTTGCTCATTGAGGAATTGGAATAAGAACAGATCTAATGAAAGAAACAATAAAGAACAAGGTGAAATGAAGACATCATAAAATATAATCTTGGAGTAGAACAATCCAGGGTCTTCATTCCTATTTAGCTGAACCGCCTGAACACCAATCTCATTTTCATTAACTTTCTATGCTAACCTAAGGTGTGTAAGTAATAAACGAAGGAAAGATCTATTCATGGTTTGGTAAGAAGCCTTAACACTGTCCTATAGTTTCAATTTCAGGTGCAAAGATAGCATTGTCCCGCAGTATGCTAAGTCGTGCTCTTGGAGTGAGCAATTGGTGCAGTAAGTAAACTTCAAGAAACAGCACATGGTGGGTGACCATCTTAAACCATAGAGCAGGGGAGATGATAACTTGTATAGTTGTATGCCAAGAAATATCACCAATCACTCCAAAATGTGGGAAAATATAGACAGGTACACCTATGTACCAATGCAAGCATAAAAGGTAATTCATATTTCTTAATTCAATTAACTTCAGTACCTACTCCCATTTACAGCTTATGAGCTAATTGCTAACCATTTTATCAGGAAGTAATTTGACAGTAATGAAGCCATAGCTGTTGACTCAGAGTCATTGGTTGGATTTTGCGCTGTTATCAGCACCGGCACTGGAACACCAATAAATGTAAGAATTTCATAGACAAGTTGCTAGTAATTTAAATAAATTAGTGCTCTGAGGATTTTTTGTAATGTGTATCCATTGCTTAACTAAAGTTAGTAATTTTAGTAATTTAAATAAATGTAATACACTTTCAAGTTAAAATTCTGGCCAGGGGCATATATCTATCTATGTGTCAGCTTTGGCTGAATTTGGTGGTAATTCCAATCAATGTTCTAAAAGGAGCTAGGCGCTAGTCGGGCGCCAGCCCAGCGCCTAGCGGCTAGGCGGGCGCCTAGTCGGGGACTAGTCGGAGATATAAAATTTGCATTTTTATTTATGTATATTGATTAACAAACATATATACATATACATTAACAAACATTAAAGATAGAATTCTCACATTTAATTATACGTAGTATATGATAACTGATCACTTAACTTCATTATAGTATAAATATAAATAATGATAAAATTTAGGTATATATACAAACATATATAGTTTTATCTTAATTTAAAACTTCATTTCTTTATATCCATGGCTAAAGTTAAAGTACATATATCGCTTAGAATATTAAAATTAAAAAGTAAAGTAATGTTCGGCGAATCTAGACGGCCTAGGCGGCCGATTAGGCGCTCTAGGCGGGCAACTAGGCGCCATAGGCGGCCGACTAATTCACCTAGACGGGAAACCAATTAGTCGGAGCGCCGAGACAAAAAATGGGGCGCCCGACCACCGCCTAGCGCCTAGGCGGGGACTAGTCGGGCGCCTAGAACGATTTTTAGAACAAAGATTCCAATCAATTTTTACTGCATAAGGTATCTTTAAACGTAGAGTTGATGTTATGAAGGTCCGTTGACTTTTTAGATATTACACAATCAGGCCGGAGGTTGTTTTTCTTTTCAATTTAATTTCCAGGATTCAGATACACACATTTTAGACTCTGTTCAAAATTAGGGAAATTAAACTAAGTTAAATAAAAAAAATGCTTAAAATCTCTATTAAGATGTGTTATATTGTTTCATTAGATGGCCAAGTTGAGTACTGTGATGAAGGGTGAAGAAGATTAGTACACTTGTCTTCGAAGAAGGGTGAGAAAGTAAATAGTGCATTAGTAAACAATCCATATAACTTACTCCCTTCGTCCCATAAAATTCTTCCCGGTTTGATTTGGATTGGAGTTTAAGAAAGTGGGAATAAAGTGGAAATGTATGGTTGTGGTTGAGTAAGAAAAAAGGTAAATGAATGTTAGCCACACAAAACATTCCAAAAAGGGAAATGGGAATAATTCTTCGGGACGTCCCTAAAAGGTAGGTGGGAAGAATTTTAAGGGACGGAAGGAGTATTTTCAACAGAAAATTAACCAAACATGGTCTTTTTCACTCATGCTCTTTTTGTTGTCATGAATATGATATGTTATCTTTCTCAAGCATCTCAGTAAGCTGATTTTATTACTTTTTATTAGCCCGGTTGTAATGGTTATTAAATAAGTTTATGGTTTCGTAATTGAACCACTGCTGTTTGATTTGCTCACATACACAACATTAATTATGCAATTACTCCTCATTTTGGATTCTAACCTTTTCCATTTAAAATAGAAAATTCCATCAGAAGGCTCTAATCATGCCTTCCTCTGTAATGGAAATTCCACGTACAAATGCATTTAATAGATTAATTGCTAGAATGTTATTGCTTGCCTTTCAAGGAAATAAACTTTTGTTCTCCCTTTTGTAATTGTGTTTCGTGTAGAACAAGATAAGTCATCAAAGGATAACAAATTTTTTACTTTTGGATTGTATCTGTCTCAGGTCATTAGTGGAAAGTACGAATCAGGAGATGTCACCCAGAGTCAGTTACACCATGGTGGAGAAGGGGTCTGGCTTCTATTCTGCTCAATCACGAGGGCGGTAAGCACAAGAAAATGAGAAATGTTTTCGGTTTTCTGAATTTATGTGTTTCCCTTCTATCAGCTCACCGTCCAAGCCGTTTTCCTTGTGAACCTGGATTATCCAGATATTTTAGTTGGTGATTTATTATCCATGAACTTGTGTCCAACAGCAGGAGCCACTGATCGACTTCTTCCCCATCCATGAGCCTTTTAACAGGCATGTACTCGCTCCCAATCAGCTGTGCTCCAATGGGGTTGTCCTCCTTGACAGAGAAGACAATGTTGGAAGCCATATAAGGATTGTAAGGTCGATCAGGCAGTAGCCGAAGCATGGGCGGTGGTGGCTGGAGCATGTGCGGCGATGTTCAATTCTATGGTGGTTCTTTTCTGGGCCCTGGTGTTTCGGTGTGTTTTGTCTTCCTCGATGTAGGGAGTTGCTTTGGTGTCTCAGCCTGCTACTCCTGATTATGAGTTATTGTCTCTCTTCTTTTGGAATGCGTAAAGATGGAATAAGCATAAAGAGTGTTTTTTTCTCCACCCGGTTCTACATCTTTTTGGAACGAAGTAAGATGAGGAATGTAGTGTTAGGATGTTTTTACTTGGACTGTAATTTGCTGGTCTGATCTGGTCTGGTCTGGTCTGGTTTCTTTGTAGTTTTATAACTATCCAAGTCTGGTCTGGTTTGAACTGGTCTGGTCTGGTCTGGGACAAATTACAGTCCAAGTAAAAACATCCTTAGTAGCTAGTTCTCTTCTGTAATAGTAGAATCACCCCTGTGTGGGGAGCTTTGTAGAAAAACTTTATTACTTTATTTCAGCGTTATTTCTTCTTTAGTAATACTTGTTTTTATCAAACATTCGAGTATGTTTGGTAATGATATTTGGATTTCTGAAGTCCCTTTGATATGCACTATTTCAGTTACAGTCATTTTAGGCTTAAAATTGTCTATTTCGTGTCGAGCGAATCAGGTTGCTTTGTAAGATCTGACTGATTCCATGTCTATTTTTAGGGCTTACGATTGGATATGTTGTAGTGTCTGGATGTTGTCTTATATGATTTCATGATATCAATATAATAACCGCTCTTATATTAAAAAAAGATCTTTTTCCTATGTTTTATGCTCAACAACTTTATTTAGTTAAAATTTTGTGCTAAATAGGAGTAATAACATAGTTCTTACTCTAAGTAAGAGTGTCATGTTTCTCTCACTAAATAAGAGAAAATAGTATCACGACAAATACTTTTATAGTATTATGATATTAATGCATGATAATGTCGTAATATAATATGATACTCCATCCATTCCAGTTTAGGGTTCTGAATTCCTTTTTTGAACGTCTTAGTTACAGGCTCATATTTCTATTCAAGAAAATAATTAGTACTTTTAAATGATTATTTGATCATTATATTAAAAATGATACATCTACGAGATTACAGTTATCATCAATGATCTCATTATTATATTATACTCTCTCTGTCCCTAAATAAAAGACACTTTCCTTTTTGGGTTGTTCCTATATAAAAGGCTCATTTCCCTTTTTGGCAAACAAAACAATGCAAAACAATGTCAAACAATGTCAAATAGTATTCTTTCTAAAGATGTGTGTCAGTCAAAGTATGTCTTTTATATAGGGACGGAGGGAGGGAGTATGTATTTAGCAATACTAGTTTTCAAAATGTATTCAAATTTACTTATTTAACATTGAAATGATTGTGCCATTTTATCATCCAAATGATTGTGCCATTTTATCATCCAAATTTACTACGGTGTTTGAAGGAGGTAAAATGGGCTGATCAGCATGAAACTGCAAGAAACACTAAACAATCATTAAATGGACTTTTTGATTGATTTCTATTATCAAAAATTAGTCTTCGAGTTACTTTATCAGTTGATTTGTATTTTTCTATGGTGAAACGCTAAATGATACTTCTATCCCCTTCAAAACAAGCACCAAGTATGAGACTTTGGGGCTGGGACGTCAAAAACTTTTGGAACTAATTGGAAATATGCAAAACAAATTATTGGGTTTTACAAAAAAAACTTATTTACATAAATATGACTAATAGTTACTACAATGTAGCATCATAATAACTTAAGTTTAAAAGTTTAACATAAATTACTATGATTCCATTACTACTCTAATCACTAGTCACATTTTTGTAAACAAATTTTATTTTAGTCATAAATATGTAGTTATTTCAAAACAACATGGTTAGTAATTTGGTAATGTAAAACTAGTGGCTACTGCACAATTATGAATTAAATGAATGTCTTTTCTAAGAAAGTTTTTTTAAAATACATCTATTGGTAAATGTGCCGCATCTCATATATAGTACCTCCGTCCCACTATGATTGGGACAAAGAAGAGTGATGTGGTTTTTAAGAAAAGTAAAGTTATGTGATTGATAATGAATTGATAAAGCGAGAATAAAGTAAGAATAGATTTGTGCCACACAAATATTTTCAAATATAGTATGAGACGAATGTAGTGAAATAGACGAAAAATATACTTCCTCCGTATTCCAATGTTCTCTACAATAGGTTTGGGCACAAGATTTAAGAGTAAAATAGTAGGAGTAATGAATAGTGTGGAAAAAGTAGGAGAGAAGGTGGAAAAGTATGAAAGAGAAGATAAAAAGTAGAAAAAGTAAGGGTAATTGTGTGTATTTAAAGGAAAAACTTGCCAAAATGGAAAAGTGTAGTAAACTCTTAGATACATCCAAAAAAGGAAAGTGTAACAAACTTTACAATACGGAGAGAGTATATATATTCAATCAGCCAATTCAGTCAAAATATTACCAAACATTTTTAGAGTCCGTTTGGTCAGTCTGTATACCGTGCAACCGGAGCATGGTGAGCACCATGCTCCTGTGACTATATGAAATGTAACTCGTGTGAATTCACATGTAACTTTAAGTTTATCAAGATGTAAATTACATTCATTCAAATGTAACTCATTGAAATGTAAACTGCTTTGATTCAAATGTAACTTGGGGAACAAATCTGATGTAATTTGTGAATGTAACTTTACCATATTCAAATGTAACTTGGGAACAAGGAGATGCAACTTGTGAAATCAACATCCAAGAGAATGGAAAAATTCAGATTAATTTGAATTGGAATAATACGCTGACCTCCTAAATCAAATCAAAAGAATGCTTTCAATCATATCCATATTTAGAAATTCATATTAGATGTTAAATCAAAGCAAAAGAAATTGTTTTTTGTTTGAAAAGAGCTGTGGCGTTGTACGTAGGTTGAGCCGTTGAGAGCAGAGCTTGACAAGCAAAGAATCTAATTAATTTCTAACTAGTTGAAGAGAGTGAGGCATAAAGTGCTCCAACCGGGTGTTGCTCTGATTTGCCTTCATCCGTACACTTAGCAGTTGCGGCGGAAGATGATCGGCATCGATGCTCTGTTTTTTTTAGGACCGGGCACACCGTTCTCATGCTGTGCCGATCATAGGTAGGGGTGGACCCGGTTCGGGCCGCCCGGCCCGGGACCGGCCCGGCCCGGGACCGGCCCGGCCCGTCACTGTGCGGGCCCGGAACCGGCCCGGTTCTCGGGTCCGGGTCCGGTTCGGGCACCGAACCGGTTGGGTTAGCGGGTCCGGGCTCGGGTCATGTTTTTGGAGGCCCGGCCCGGCCGGGTCGGGCCCGGGCCCAGGCCTAACGGTCAGATTTAAAAAAAAAAAAAAAATCTTTTTAATTTGAAAAAACCATTTTGGCTCAACCCCCACTTCCCAAACGGCTATATAGCCGTTGGGGGGGGGGGGGGGGTACCAGGGGGGGTCCGGGGTGTTTGGGGTGGGGTGGGGTGGGGGGGTGGGGGTTAAAAAAAACCTATAAATACTCCTAATTTTAATCATTTTTTCACACCTCTTCTCCAACTCTCCCTAAATCCTACTCTCTACTCATCTCCAATTCTCCATATTCATCTTCTCAAATTCTCTTATTCTCCTTTATATTTTATTTTACTATTTAATATTTATACAATTATTATATCTATTTATATATTAATTATCTACTTATAAATACATATACTATATTACATATATTTGTTATCTACTTAATCTCTACTTATATTTCTTAATACATACATACATACTACATCTACTTAATATATACTTTATATAATAAAGTATTAAATATACTTTATAAACTATTACTATATACTTAATACATAATAATATCTACTTCTCTACTTAATAATTTCTATTTTATATATACTTATTTTATAATATCTACTTTTATATATACTTTATAATATCTATTTTATATATACTTATTTTCTTATTTTCCAATCTCCAATTCTCCATTATACTCTAATATTTAATTCTTATACAATTATTATATCCACTTAATACATACATTCTACATCTACTTAATATATACTTTATATATTAAAGTATAAAATATAAGTGTATTACTCATCTTATAGTAGTATACTTATATATTATATACTATAAATATTATATTACTTAATATAACTAGTATTGTACTAGTTAATTAGTTAATTAGCATTCTTGTTACATTTATCATTATAATAGTTAATTAGTTCATTACCATTATTGTTACATTTTTCATTATACTAGTTAATTAGTTTATTAGCATTGTTGTTACATTTGTCATTATACTAGTTAATTAGTTAATTAGCATTGTTGTTACATTTTTCATTATACTAGTTATTTACTTCATTAGTATTCTCATTAATTGTTAAAACAACTCTACTTCAATAAACTAGTTAATTGTCATTAATTCATTATAGTTAAAGTCACATTTTCTTATTTTCAATTTATATTTGTAGGAAGAAATAGTAGTTCAATCATTTAATTAAAGTACTTCACATTTTATTTAAGTAGTTTTTACTAAATTAAAGTACTTCAAAAGTTGGTATAATTTTAATTTTAAAGTCACACATTAATTCTACTTTGCACTAAATTAGTTTGAAGTATTAATTAAAATAGTTTTAATTAGTTGCATTAGTTTTGTATCCATTATTATATTGGTTGTCAATTAATATTTGTTACATTTTTAACATGGAAGGGGGTAGATATTCGGTTGATTTGGGTAACCTCCAACGCAATCGGAGGAACGAGATTGGGAGGAAGAAATCCCGTAAAGGTAAAGAACTTGCCGGTTCTTCATCTCAAAGCCGAGATGATTTTGAAACGGGTTACCAAAGGCGAGATGGAGATGCAATGTCCGAAGAACAACTCCAACAAGAATTGGCCCGACATAATAACCGCTTTCTACAACAACAACAAATGCCGATGACCATTGACGAAGAGGAGCTTGAGGATGCAGATGCGGAGGAATTGGAACCGGAGACGGCCGAGGAGGAGGGTGCCGACAGCCACGACGCCGACGCGCCTGCCTCATCCCAAACCGCCACCGGTAATAAAAAAAGTAAGTCTGAACTAATGAAAAATAATTTTGATAAATGGAAGGACCCACAAACCGGCTATTGGCACGCAACTTGCAAGTGGTGCAACAACAATTATAGTTTGGGAACCTCCGGCGGATACGGATCCGCCGCAAGGCATCTTAAGGCAAAGCACCCCGTGGAGTATGCAAAATTAGGCGGCGGAACGGGGAAGCAAACTCAAATATCGAGGTTTGCGAATTCTCAACCTTTTGGTAATTTCTCCTACAATGATGCACAAAATTTGACTGGTATGGCTAACTTAATTTGTGAAGAAAATTTGCCTTATTTGTTTTCTGAAAGTCTTGCTTTAAGAGATTATGCACAAGGTAGTTTAAATCCTCAATTTAGAAATTATAGTCGCAAAACTGTTAAGAAAGAAATAATAAGGCTTTATAATGCGGAAAAGGAAAGGTTACAAATTTTTTTTGCAAACTTTGATGGGCGTGTTACTATTTGTTCTGACATATGGGAGGATGATTTTCATCATTTATATTATTTGGGTCTGACTGCACATCATATTGATGAGGATTGGAATATGCATAAACGTGTTCTTGCTTTTCGTGAATTTAATGATCGTCACACCGTTGAACATATTTATATTTTGATTGAGCGTATTTTAATTGAGTATAATTTGATTGATAAGGTGTTTGCTATTGGTTTCGATAATGCTACTAATAATACTGCTGCTATACCTAGATTGCGTGAGTTGTGTGGTGCCAATTCTTTGATGGGTAGATTTTTTCATCAACGCTGTGCATGTCATGTTATAAATTTATGTGTGCAAGACGGTTTAAAAGCGTTAGGAGATTCCATGGAGGTAATAAGGGGGGGGGGGGGGGGGGGGTTAGACGTATTTGGGGTAATGGTCAACTTAGATTAAAATGGCAAAGTTATTTGACTGAAAGAGGTGTGAGATATGTTGCTTTTCCTAAAGATTTGAGTATTCGTTGGAATAGTACTTATAAATTACTTAAAGTTGTTCTTAGATATAAAGAACATTTTCCTGCTTTTTTAAAAGAACATGATAACTATATTATAAACGCGGCTGAGATCGACACTTGCGAAAAAATTTGTAATGTTTTGATATTTTTTTTTAATGCTACTGAAACTTTTAGTCATGTTTATAAACGTACCGCAAACCAATTTATTCCACAAGCTGTTAATCTCGCCGATGCTTTTAAAGAATTTCAAAATGCCGTTTTCGTTCATTATTTTTGTGATCATATGAAGGAAAAGTTTTTAAAATATTATGCGCATATTCCCCATATTTATGGGATTGCATTTATTCTCGATCCTCGTTATAGACTTGCTAATTTGGAAGATTGTTTCAACTTCTATTATCTTGCGTTTTTCGATGAATTTCCAATGTATGACGATAACCCCATAGATCCGAAAACGGAATATAACGAGGTTAGTACTTTATTTTATGCCTTATTTAATGAGTTTCGTGCACAATATAGCAACGCTCCCCCTCCCCCGTCACGAACATCTTCATCTAAAGGAAAATCGATTTTTAAATCTCCATTTGGCAATCTTATGAAAAAAACTAAAACAACTCACGTCACTGAACAAAGCGCATTGAATGAGATTACTTTGTATTTAACATATGAAGTTGATTTTGAAGAAAATGATGACTTTGACGTTCTAGACTGGTGGAAGTCAAAAGAAAGAACGTTCCCGATTTTAGCACGGATGGCTAAGCAAGTACTATCAATGCCGGTTTCAACAGTTGCTGTGGAACAAGAATTTAGTTCGGCCGGCAACGTCCTAACGGCATCTAGATCGAGATTGAGCGCGGAGTCTCTTGAGACGCTTATATGCTACCACGATTGGTTGAAGGCCGCACGTAGAACTCAAGAATTGAGCATCACCCCCTCCCAAGATTTTATGGATGACTCAACAACCGATGGTGGCTCTACCTATGTCGGAGATTCCGATTGATTAGTATTTTAGAATTTATTACAAAATGTATTTTATAGCACTTGTCAAATTTATTTATACTTGTACTTCATATTTCAAAATTGTAAACTTGTACTTCATATTTCAAAATTGTAAATTTGTAGTTGTACTTCAAATTAATTTGTAAACTTGTACTTCATATTTCAAATAAATATGTGTTCACTTTTTCATATGTAGCACGTCTCAAATTAATTAATTGGTTACAATCTAACGACTTAAAATTATTTTTCTAAAATATAAAGCCGATTTTTAAATTAAAAATACATTTACAATATGTAATTTGTTTAAATACTTATACACCTATTTTGTAACATTTGTAAATTATAAATCAAACCACTTTTCTAAGTACAAATAGTTTTAGTTTTACTTAATTCATTAAATTAATTAATTTATTTTACAATATGTGTATAACTTAAAAAAAAATTAATTCAAACCTCCCAAACGGCTATATAGCCGTTGGGGCTATGGGTGGGGGGCAGGGGGGTCCCGGGGGTGGTGGTGTGGGGAGTGAGGTTCAAAAACATCTATAAATACATCTATTTTCTAACATTTTTCTACACCTCTTCTCCAATTCTTCTCAAACTCTTCTCCATCTTCATCTTCTCTTATTATCCTACATTCCTACTTATACATATACCATTTTAAATATGGAAAGTACATCTTCCCTTATGCAAAACAATTTTGACAAGTGGAAGGACCCGAAGACCAGACTGTGGTGGGCAACTTGCAAGTGGTGCAAGAAAGACTGTTGCTTGGGGCGTTCATACGGATATGGGATGCCAATAAAACATATGAAGTCCTGTGACAAAGGGAAAACAACAACCAACGGTGGCGGAAATCCCAATTGATATTCATTACAAAATGTATTTCGTATTGTTATTTTTTTCTCAATTCTCAAATGTAGTTCTTATTTCAAATAAATGCACTTGAACTTTGTTTTTAATAGCAATTTGTATAATATATAATTAATAAAAAAAATGTACTGGCCCGGCCCGGCCCGGTGGGTGGCCCGGCCCGGTGGGTGGCCCGACCCGTGACCCGGGCGGCTGGCCCGGCCCGAACCGGAACCGGTCATTGACCGGGCCGGTCCCGGGCCTCCCATTATAGGACCCGAGGCCCGACCGGGCCTTGACCCGGCCCGGGCCTGACCCGGCCCGGGCCTGACCCGGCCCGGGTCCATCACTAGATTCATAGGGTATAATTTGCACGTTTGGTGAGCTTGTTTTTCAACTTGTTAGGCTTATTAGTCGACCTTTTCATCAAACACTTAACACATAACTTTATTGGGCATTTCAGGATTTCAGCTCTTTGAAGTTTCAAAGTGCGGTTGTAGTCATTACCTAACAAGCAATTAACGTGGAAAATGGAAATTGAGGGAGAGAGTATTAAGTGTGAAAGACCTTGGGGCCCGCCTCTGCCAATCACAACATGCCGACCGTCCCTAGTTACACCTCTAATTCACGTCTTCAACGTAATTTATTACAGTACAGATTTAGGATAATACGTAACAGATAATAACAATTCATGGTTTATTTGGAAAGTTGTACTCTGTAATCTTTTCCTCTGCTTCATCTTCCCCGTCACTCTTTCTTGATAAACAACTCTTATTTAATTTGCACCTCTCTCCATTTTCATCATCATCCCAAAAGCTTAAAGTAAGGTTGGTTTCTGGGTTAGTTAATTAGCAAACTCTTCTTCTTTAATTTCTCTGTTATTGTTCTTAACATTTCTTTAATTCTGATTTTTAGTCTTTCCTTGAGAGACCACAAACATAATGGCACAACTGCTGCTTCACGGAACGCTCAATGTCTCTGTCTACGAAGTTGACAAGCTAAAGTCGGATTTCCTCCACAACTTTTTTCACAAGGTATCTTTCATTTCATTTTGATGATTCTTCTCATTTCTGGGATCTTGATCTTAGTTTTTTTTGGATCGGTTCATGTTCTTGATCTTAATGTTAAATCCAATTTCTGAGCATTTTATTAGTAGCTCCCTATGTTGCACGGAAACGCGAATATCTTGAGGAAACTGGAAACTGGAAACGTAACTTTTGCTCAAAAAAGGCTTATTTGGAGAGTTTACAAAGAGTTTTTGAAAGTTCCTGAACCGGAAAATGCACTCTTTGCCGAGAGTTTCCGTGCCACGTAGCTCCGTTTGTTTGGGCTAGACTGGGAAAATGATTATATTATGCATTATTTTTACTTTAGCAATGAAAGGTATGTAGGATTGGACGGCAAAATCGTAGATTGACCGACGATAAAGTTAAATGATCCCTTTGAAAACTCGGATTATTTTTAGTAAATAAAATTTACATATTCAGAAACTACATTAAACCCGCTACAAAGCCTACAAAAAATAATTCAACTTTTATAAAATTTTGATATAAAAAGTAAGAGATTAAGAGTGATTTAAGTTGACCAATGAATAGTAAAATGGAACTTCTTTCAGGGACAGAGGGAGTATGTAATAGGAAAGGTAGAGCACGTGAAATAAAATACTACCTAGTACAAGTATATTTTAGGATATCCCAAAAAGTTAATATATTTACACATTTTTATTGAGTAAGATAAAATGGAAAATTGACCTTCCAATAACATTTGTCTCACATCAAATAAAAAATAAAAAAAATAAAGTAGTTGGGATATACAAATGGGGAAAGTGAAAAATTACTTCAGAGAGAGAGAGGTTTTTTGGGATAGTGGAAGTATTTTCATCCCTAAGATTTGATTCATGTAGTTGCTTTCTTCAATGTTGAGTTAAAATTTAGTTTAGATTGTTGAATTACTTAGATATGTTTAATTGTGAAACTTTATACGGAGTATTTATTAGAAGAGAAAACAATATAAAAAAAAGGATGACACCCCATCCCTGAGGGCCCCCAACACCGACCGGACGGCACGATGGGAGGATATAAATTGGACTATAATCACAATCTGACAGATAGAGAGTGAGGCTCTGTCCCCGGTACTTGCAGAAGCCCTATGCATTTTTCAGCATAGTAACCCCTCATCGCAGTTGCCGGGATTCGAACTCGAGACCTAACCCTTGTGGCACTCTCTCGCTACCAGTTGAGCTACGCCCACCGGTAGAGAAAACAATATAACAATGTACGGTTTAGAGTATTTGGAATTGATTCTGCTTCGACCTCTTTTTTAATGTAGAAACAGAGTCAGTTTTTCAAAAATGGACCTCTCCCAGTTTCTAAAAGATTGCTTCTAAGAGCAATTTAGAGCACTCAATAGTACTTTTACACTTTCACCCAAACACGCCAATATCTTTTTCTGTTTCCTGAAAGAGCAGAAGTAGTTTTCAGTTGTGAGATACATAATATGAAATGTAATTTCGCAAACGCCGATGTGATTATGAGAACCATGAAAAAGAATTTGAATTTAGAAAATTTTTACCAGAAAAATTGTTTATTGTATACAACTATTTAATTTATCCCAAAACAACTATATATAAGACTATAAGAGCTATACTTTCATTTCACAAACGTACACGTGCCTTATTTGACTTTTGTTGGTCAAATATTAAGCTTTGATTAAGAACATAGGTAGTATATTTGTATAAAATGATTTAAAAATGCAAGTGATGTGATCCTTTTTGTTAAGAATGTTTTTCAAATGTTCTTCAAAAAAAAAAAAAAAGAATATTTTCAAATGCCTAAATTTTAAGAGTTCATTTTATAAAGGCGTGGTATATTAGACTTATGGTCAAAGATATTAAACTTTCACTAATAACATATTTTGTACAAACATATATATACACAAAAGTGATAATTTTTGTTAGCAATGCTCTCAATATGCATAACAGTGTACACTGTATACCAATTTAAAACTTTGGACAGCATCCAATATTAATTTGAGTAATGAATTAAATGATCCGAATGACTTCATGATTTTGGGGTTGTGGAACGACGAGTATTAAGTTTTAACTTCTTTTTTAATTGGGTAGGTCACGATTCTCACTTCTTTACAACTATATCCACTACCCCTATTACCCCTTAAATATTGTGACCAACCTTATCGTAACAAGGATAATGGAGTCTTTAAAAGATAAAAAAATGTATTGAAATTTATATGTAAACTATTGATAGAGTTGAAAGAATTAACCTTATTTCGCATTCAGCGGTTAGCACGGGCTCTGCTAGTAGATAGTTAATAAGGGTTTCGCCCTACTAGTTTGACTAGCGGATTAAGTTGGTGTTGCATAAAACTGTTGATGAATTAGCTTTTTTTTCTTAGGGTGTGTTTGGGAGTTGATTTTTTGGAGAGAGGGAAAAACATGTAAGGGTTAATGGTCCTCCTATTTGTGTTTGAGAGTTTAAAAATGAAGATGAATAGTTTTGGAAGGTTTTTGGAGGATTTTGGAGTTCCAAGACCTCTCAAATAATCAATTTTTAAGTTTCTCCAAAATGGGGAATTTTGGAGGATAATTAACTAAATGATAATTTAAGCTAAATTTAAAATGAATACCAGTTCAACTATTTGAATTTACATAGGAAAAATTGAAAATAATAATCCCAACTATTGCTAGTCCGCTAACAATAATCTCAACTATTGATTATTTTTGTATAATCCCAACTATATGGACCGTCCGCCAATAATGGTCCATGACCGGATATTACCTGCTACGTAGTATAACCAATGGTGCACCAAGCCACCAATACTTCACCTCGATGCCGTATCCGCGTATCGGATACATATCTGATACCGATACTCACCGATACACGTCATGTACGTATACGTATTTGGTCCGTATCGGTAATTTAATAAAAGTATTGGACTTATTTTAAAAAATATGGATACTTCTGATACCCGTATCCGTGAGCCGATGCACGTATCTAGCCCTATAACCCTGATTTCATACATGACATGACAAAAAGTTAGTAGCCGCCCAAGCGACCACAAGATGTTTTCGGAAGTATAGAAAACATTGGAATGCTATAATTTGCCAATTTGTCACTTGATGAACTGACGAGCACTTTGTCACGGTTCGTCAAAATAAATTCAATACTAACACTTATACGTAGTATAGCGTAGTAGAGTTCGTATCCACAGGGAAAAGAATAATTCTCTTTTTATAAAACTAGTAAATAAGGGGGGGGGGGGGTTATGATTGAATGATTTAATTTAATTAAATACAAAGATGAACAACTTATATGTGATTTAATTCAAAGATAAAAAGGACTTGGCATTGCTACTTTTCATTTGTTGATATATTTTAGTCGATCATTGTTATATCTATAACTTATCCCCTCTCGAATACTCAATCGAGGAGTATATGCAATTCATCGAGGGTAGTTATTAAAAACGACCATTCATTAATAACCATTACTATTAGTCAAGTATAGAACACCGCCATATACTGACTTGATAGTAGCATTTAATCTCTTAACTCCTTGATGAAATCAATTGAGATTGATAACCTCAACACAACGGCTTCGGTTTAACCAACAAAATTAATCCCTCTTAAGTTTATTAACCACGACCGTGCATTAATAAACCGAAGTTACTTACTTGTGAAACCATCAACGATTAACCATCGGTTCGTTGATCGATTCTAGTAATAATTAGTATATGAAACAAAACTAGTTGATCCTTTAAGTAATGTTCAAAATATTAATATGAAATATGAATAGGAATTAATTAATACTCAAGGAAGAATATTAAAGAAGATGAATCCTACTATAGTTAATATCAAGATGTTAACTAATTGTCATCTTAGTAACACTCCCCAATATTAACATAGAGGAAGAAATAATCATTACTATAACTAATGTCAAGATGTTAACTAATTGTCATCTTAGTAACACTCCCCAACATTGATATAGAAATAGTATTTAAAGGAAGAATTAATATTCAAGGAAAAAAGTTAAGAAAATAACTCACAACTTTAATAATCAACAAGCTTCAAGAGCAACACCAAGAAATGAGAGTTTAGCTCCTCATTTGGATACTAAACATGCTAGAAAAATATATAGAAATACTATTCTAAACTGAGCTTATAGGCTTTTTGGGAGTGCAGTTCGGGTACCCGATCGAGTACACATAGGGTACCCGATTGGGTATGTGTAAAAAGTGTTAATTCGAGGCATACTCGATCAATTTCAGAGTGGAAATAAAAGACATACCCGATCGGGTGTGTCGGTGTACCCGATCGGGTATGACAACTGATCGTGGCCAAATCTTCCCCTGCACGCCCCTTTGTCTCCTGATTGATCTGATTGAAAGTCCAGTTGGTACCCGATCGAGTACATGGTATACTCGACCGGGTACAGGTCAAAAATCAGGATTTTGCCTCCTTTTTGTCTTGTACTCTTGCACATTCCTTCACCAATGATCATTTGATTGATCTTGGACCTGTTTAAGCTCAGAATAAACCTAATCTAAACATATTACAACTATTTTACAAACATAACTATTACACCAAAAGTGTGTAATTTCCGAAATATTAAACAACTAAAAATAACCAAAAACGTAAACATACATACGGAAATTACAAGCGTATCATGAACATTAATTGAAATCAGTCTTGTTAAAAGACTTAGATGTAGATGCAAATAGAGAATCAAAAATATTATTTGAATTTAAATCGAAATATGAGTACATTAGCTTTATTTTAGTCTAATCTTTGAAATTTTATTTTAACTGTTAATTTTTGGCACTATTACTAGTATTATTTTATTTATGAACCTCTGAATTATATATATTTACAAATTTTACCCTATATTATTATTATTATTATTATTATTGCAGCTATTTTACAAACATAACTATTACACCAAAAGTGTGTAATTTCCGAAATATTAAACAACTAAAAATAACCAAAAACGTAAACATACATACGGAAATTACAAGCGTATCATGAACATTAATTGAAATCAGTCTTGTTAAAAGACTTAGATGTAGATGCAAATAGAGAACCAAAAATTTTATTTGAATTTAAATCGAAATATGAGTACATTAACTTTATTTTAGTCTAATCTTTGAAATTTTATTATAACTGTTAATTTTTGGTACTATTACTAGTATTATTTTATTTATGAACCTCTGAATTATATATATTTACAAATTATACCCTATATTATTATTATTATTATTATTATTATTATTATTATTATTATTATTATTATTATTATTATTATTATTAATAAATATACCCCCGTACCCGTATCCTATAGTTTTTGAAGTTGCCGTATCGCTGTACCCATATCCGCGTATCGGCGTATCCGTGCAACATAGGATATAACACGTGAATTTTAATAGAAATTAAGCATAAAAATCAAAAGTTGGGATTATTTATACGGATTACCTGCTATATCTCTTCTCATCCACTTTAAAAACTATATGAATTTATTTATAACCGGTCACGTCGGACCATTATTGGCTGAAGGTACCTAAACTTGGGATTATTCTGAAATAATTGATAATTGGGATTATTATGAGCAGATCGTCAATAGTTGGGATTATTACTATCAATTTTTCCTTTACCATATGTCAGAAGTGATTTTGAATATAATTCAATTCCTTCTAAAACAATTTTTTTTCTTTCAAATTTACTATCAAATAAGAGGAAGGTTTCGTCAACTCCCAAACATACTCTTAGCAATTGGCATGTAAAGTTATATTTATTGATTTATAATAAAACACTACATCTAAACGCTACTAGTCTTACCGCTTTCAATTTGGCGTTTAGACCCAAAGCACCAAACTCACCCGCGGTTTACCAAAACACATAAATTAAGTGTTTGGATTAACGGGAACGCCAAAGTGAGTCAAGAATGATGATATTTTGACAAAACACCATTTTCCAAACATGGCCAATATCTGTTGGCTATCACATTTGACCTGTTAACTAATGATTTGTTACCATATTTAACGTGTAAAAACTATTGATTAAACGCTGAAAGAATTAACTTGTTAATATATGTTTGAGAATCGAGTGAACCAAAGTCTAAAGCTAAACTTATTGCACTGGTAAATACTGGTTCAGCCATTCATGCTTCCTAATAATAATTTTTATTTTGCAGGTAGTGGAAGGCGTTGAACATGTTGTGGGCTTTAACAAGACAGGTTCCAGACTATATGCAACCATTGATCTGGAAAAGGCAAGGGTTGGTCGAACCAGGCTTCTGGATGAGCACAAAAATCCCAGATGGTATGAGTCTTTCCACATATACTGTGCTCATATGGCTTCCAATGTTGTCTTCTCCGTCAAAGTGGACAACCCCATCGGAGCAGAGCTGGTCGGGAGAGCATACATGCCTGTTAAAAGGCTCATAGATGGGGAAGAAGTCGACGAGTGGCTCCCTCTGTTGGACACCAGTCGTAATCCCATACGTGGACATTCCAAGATCCATGTGAAGCTCCAGTTCTTTGACGTCCAAAGAGAACGCTGTTGGGGGCGTGGACTGAAAGCAGGACGTTTTCCTGGTGTTCCGTACACGTTTCTTCCCCAGCGACAAGGCTGCATGGTCACTCTATACCAAGATGCTCATGTTCCAGATAATTTCATACCGAGAATTCCGCTTTCCGGAGGAAAGTTATACGAGCCACATCGCTGTTGGGAGGACATATTCGATGCGATTACCAATGCCAGGCATTTGATATATATAACAGGATGGTCTGTGTATACTGAGATCACATTGGTGAGGGACCCGAGGAGGCCTAGACCAGGCGGTGACGTCACTCTCGGTGAGCTGCTAAAGAAAAAAGCGGACGAAGGGGTTCGAGTTCTCATGCTTGTTTGGGATGACCGGACTTCGGTTGGGTTGCTCAAAAAAGATGGACTAATGGCTACTCATGATGAAGAAACTGGGAATTATTTTAAGGATAGTGAAGTGCATTGTGTGCTATGTCCTAGGAACCCCGATGATGGAAGGAGTATAATTCAGGACATAGAAATTGGAACCATGTTCACTCACCACCAAAAGATTCTGGTAGTCGACAGGGAAATGCCAAATGGAAATGATGAGAGGAGAAGGATCGTGAGTTTCATCGGTGGGATTGATCTTTGTGACGGGCGATACGATTCTCCGCTTCACCCACTTTTCCGGACACTCAACACGGCCCACCACGATGATTTCCATCAGCCGAACTTTGAAGGTGCATCGATTAAGAAGGGCGGGCCAAGAGAACCTTGGCATGACATTCATTCGCGCTTAGAGGGGCCAGCGGCTTGGGACGTGCTCTTCAACTTCGAGCAAAGATGGAGGAAACAAGGCACTCAAGGTTTGCTCGTTGACTTGAGAGATCTTGAGGGAGTCATCATCCCACCTTCGCCCGTGACGTTCCCAGACGATCAGGAAACGTGGAATGTTCAGGTCTTTAGATCAATCGATGGAGGGGCCGCTTTTGGTTTCCCCGATGCACCCGAGGACGCGGCCAAATCCGGCCTTATTAGCGGGAAGGACAACATAATCGACAGAAGCATTCAAGATGCATATATCAATGCCATTCGCCGTGCGAAAAGTTTCATTTACATAGAGAACCAGTACTTCCTAGGAAGCTCTTATTCTTGGTACTCTGACGATGTCAAGGATGAGGCAATCAACGCTTTGCACCTCATTCCGAAAGAACTGTCATTGAAGATTGTAAGTAAGATTGAAGCAGGAGAAAGGTTTACAGTGTACATTGTGGTCCCGATGTGGCCAGAGGGATATCCAGAGAGCGGTTCGGTGCAGGCGATTCTTGATTGGCAGAGGAGGACTATGCAAATGATGTACACTGATATTGTTCAAGCGCTCAAAGCCAAAGGCGTCATCGCGGACCCCAAGGACTACTTGAGTTTCTTCTGCCTTGGCAATAGGGAAACAAAGAGAGGAGACGACTATGAGCCTTCTGAGAAACCAGACAATAACACAGACTATAGCAGAGCTCAGGAAGCAAGAAGATTCATGATATATGTTCATGCTAAGATGATGATAGGTAAAATATCAATTCACAGTCCAAATAAAAGCTCAAACACTCAGATACTAATAAGAGAGACGATATATGTCATTTCATATATTTTAGTTAAAAAAAAGTTGCACAAACAATATGACTTTTAATAGGCAGTGCTTGGTATTTTCAAGGTGAAGACCATGATAGATGTTTTTGTAGTGATATGATAACCATGTATGTAGTGCATAGTGATGTTTTTATCCAAAAGTTCTGTTTAAATAATAGAATAGGATAAACTCCGTGATATCTATTCACTCGAAATACTTGTCGTTTTTGTTGCAGTGGATGATGAATACATAATCCTGGGATCAGCCAACATAAACCAGAGATCGATGGATGGGGCACGTGATTCAGAAATAGCGATGGGAGCCTACCAGCCACACCATCTATCTGTGAGGCAGCCAGCACGTGGTCAGGTTCATGGGTTTCGAATGGCATTGTGGTACGAGCATTTAGGCATGTTGGACAACAAATTTGAGCATCCCGAGAGCGTTGAGTGCGTTAGCAAGGTAAACCAACTGGCCCAAAACAACTGGAACCTATACTCTGCCGAGACGTTGGAACATGACCTGCCTGGCCATCTGCTTAGTTATCCAATTGGAGTAGCTGAAAATGGAGAAGTAACTGAGCTTCCAGGATTTGAAAATTTCCCGGATACTAAAGCACGAGTACTCGGAACCAAATCCGACTATCTTCCCCCAATTCTCACTACTTAAAGAGCTGAGTTTTTTTTTGTGATTCAGATATACTGTTGTAAGGTTTCATCCATTGTGTTATCAGTGTGAGGTGGACATCTATTGTGTGTTTCTATGAACCAAATTGGCGGATGAGTATCCGACTACCATGTAAATGATGTGAGATAACCATTCAAAAGCTTGTTTGATATCCATCTTCTGTATTTTTTAAAGCTAAACTCAAGATTGTAAAAACAACTAATTGTATTCAGATTTTGTTTGGAGTATTCAGAAGTAGCCCAATTAGGATAAGTATAATTACTTTTTAGTTCATTGTATCATTAAGAGTTAAAATTACATTCTTCATTCGACATGCCATTCTACTGATTGGCAGGCAGCTCTGGACATTTATAAGAGATGCTCCCTTTTTAAAAAATCACTTTGCTTCTTCTGCAATTTAAGACTTCTTCAGTAAGCTTGAACTTGTTCAGTTGTTCTTGTGCTAGATGGTCTTCAATGACCTTCCTAATAATGAAGATAACTCGAAATTCTAGACATTATTTATATGACTATTTTCTATTGTTCCAACAATTCACACTAGGCACTGATTCAACACATGATCCTCCTTCACTGCCTATGCTTTTGAACCCAACACTTCAGGTTATGCCCAGCCTTAGTTTTAAAAGGCACGAGGCGGCATGAGGCGATTCATCAATTTACCCGAGGCACAAGGCGACGAGGCGCGAGGCGACGAGGCGCGCGCCTCACTGAACTAAACCACATATCTTTGGTAAAATATATTTATACAACTTCTACATGAAGCACTCTCCTAAAAAATACTTCTACTAATAGTAAATTTAATTACAATAAACTGTTAATACTTATTATTAATCCTAAGCAATCAATAGTAAATTTTTAAATAAACTTTTATCTAAAGATTATTAATAACAACAAGCTGTCATATATAATTGACTAATTGTTACTCCGTATATAATAAACTTATAAAGTATCAAGAGTATAAAGTTAAACAATCAGATTCAAAGATTTGACAAACCATATTTATTATTTTTTAAAATTGATAAAATTCTGATTGGGATTAGGGAAGATTGTTATATGGTTATATATTTACATATTTTGAATTATTTTATTTATTTAAAAAATAAAAATATAAAGAATACAAAGACTAGATGAAGAAAGACAACAAAGAGAACGTAAGGAAGAAACGTACGCAGCTGAACAAAAAAAAACAAAGAGAACGGAAGATATTCCATAAGGCGTGAATAGCCAAAAGGCTTGAAGAAGTTCAGCGGACATATTCCATAAGGCGTGAAAGGCGACGCCTCAAAGAGGCGCAAAAAGCGGCACTAGGCGAGGTAAAAGGCGCGCCTTATGGACTCTGCTCCGCCTGGGATGTTTGGATGCGATGAAGTTATCGCCCAGAGGCGCCTCTCGCCTTTTTGCGCCTCAGGCGCGCTTTTTTAAACCAAGTGCCCAGCTGGCATTAGGTTCTAATATACTGTCCGACAACCAGTTTAAAACAACTCCATAGAGCTAGTGTAGGTAAATTGTTGAAAGGTAGGTGCATCACTACATTGTATAAAATCAACATGTTAGCGTGTTAGTGCTGTTTGTGACAGAATGCTTCAAAACAAGGAAAATGGTAATGACACCAAAGAAACTTTGGCTGGAAATTAAAAGATCTGTGAGTTCCCTTCATAATCTGCTTCTAATTAACCATCTTTTTGTAAATTTTCTCAAGGAGGGCTATCTAAAACATCTCATTCGATTTAGACCAAATGGGACTGCATCTTCGCACAAGCCCCTCATATATTTGCAGAGCAGGCCCAACCTTGGGGTAAAAATTTAAGAAATTGCCGAAAAGTAGGATTAAAAAGGTTTGTAATTCCAAAATAGAACTATCATATTTATATTTCGTAAATAGGAGTAATTACTGTCATGTTTTGACATTACCAGACTTTAAGCATGACAGTAATTACTCCTATTTAGATAATACAAACATGACGGTCCTATTTTGGAATTTCAAAACGTTTTACTCCTATTTCAGGAATTTTCCCTAATTGTTTTTGTCCAAACCACCTGTTTTTTGGACAGGCTGAACAAGCCATCTTGTGTTTGTTTCTACAAACACTCATCATATAGACATTTCAACATGATTGCTGCCAACTTGGTCGAATACCATCAATAATCTAATAGACTATTTTCCTCTCTTTAAAACTAGGCGACACTTGCAATATGCTTTAAAACATGCATGCAATCAAGTTAGCTTCTTATTCAATTCTATAATAACATAAGTTTCACATGGAAACAATTTGGATCTCGTATGTGTTTGATGGTTGTCAACATTACCTTAAACAAAGCATCCCAATATTACACAGTAAAACTTAAAACAGTAAGATCAGATTTTCATGTACCATCTACTAAAAGCGGGAAAATGGAAGCCCAATTATGCTCAACACATTTGACATTTGCACAAATGTTGTTTATGACCCACTAAAAGAGTTTTTGAGCATGTCCAGAAGCACGCCAAAGAAGGGGAAGATAAAAACATAGTTACTCACGGCCGACAATCACCAACTAAAATAGCTGGATAATCCAGGTTCACAAGGAAAACAACATGAACCGTAAGCTATTGGAATGGAAACACATACATTCAGAAACCAGAAAACATTTCTTGTGTTGTCTTTCCTACTGCTTACCGCCCTCCTGATTGAGCAGAATAGAAGCTAGACCCCTTCTCCACCATGGTGTAACTGATACTTCAATATTTTTGGATATAAGGGAAGGCAGACCACTGGTGATGCTGTTGCTGGGTGACATCTCCTGATTCGTACTTGACACTATAGAACTAAGGCAGATACAACCCAAAAGTAAAAAAGTTTGTTATTGTTTGCTCTTGTTTTACAAGAAACACAATTACAGAAGGAAGAACACATTTTTATTTACTTGAAAGGCATGATTAGAGCCTTTTGATGAAATTTTCTGTTTTAAAGGGAAAAAGCTAGAATCCAAAATAAGGAGCAATTACATAATTAATGCTTGTATCTGTGAGCAAACTAATGGCAATGGTTTAGAACTTTACTGTATAACTGTAATAGGTATTTCTTCGGAATTTGGATTGCATAGGTTCGTAATTTTAAGTTTTCCACCATTAGTCACTATTTGTATGTTTGACAAAAGACTTTTTGGGAGTTGTGTTAGAGTTGTAAAATATGTTCCCATGAGTTAATCTAAGTAGCTTCTAAGACAATGTTTTAGCTTTTACGGTATTTGCTTATTTATCATTTTTAGCTACAAAATTGAACATATACAAATATAAACTAGCATAAATTTGTGCTTGCAGAATAAATATTGCCATAACTCACATAAGCAACTAATAACATCATAGGGATTATTAATTGCACTTGATTTGTTTTTTCAGCTGATAGTTGCTAATAAGTTTAAAAACGTCTTTTCAGCAATTTGTGACATACTCTAAGAGTAAGTAACGATTCTTCACATGCAAAGAGAGATTTGAGTCCTGACGAATCACGAATGTGTTGTCTATACATCGGCATCATTGAAAGCATGCAAGGTGTTAAACCTATGCACGTAACTACAATATTAACGAACATATTTTACATGGAAACAGTAAATACATAAGTGATTATCATCAAACAAATTCAGAATTCAGTAAAAGAGAACACGGAAAGTTTGCAAGAATGCTTACGTGCTAGGCACTGATCCATCATATGCAAATGTCCATAAGCCCTGTCGTTGCTTATGCTTGGGACTAGCTGAGCATATGATATATACTCGCCCACGTCGTTTGACCGTACGGCAGAACTCACACATTTTCTTCACTGATGATCGCACCTTCATGGCTATTGGCTGATACATGTCAAACTAATTCATTAAGTATATTATTATCAAACAAAATTAGCATTTGATAAATAAGAAGCTAAACACACTGGGATTGTTACATATCCAAGACAACAGAGAAATTCTGTCAAAAAAAGATAAGAAAAGGATGTGGAGTTTTGACCTGCACATTTACATTGAAATTTACTAGCTTGGTCTGATCTGAATGATCAAATTTGAGTATGTTATGTTTAAGTTGAGTCTGATTTGACAGTGTGTATTTCATTATTATTTAATGTTGGTCATAGTGTAATCAATAGCTGAGAGTGGATCATAGAGGAAAGCTTAAAATAGCTACATAGATATAGCGGATAGCGTCACAGTAAATAATGAAAGCATAGCGGATTCGGTTGAATAATAGATACAAATACAAATAATACTCAAATATCATATTAGATGTAACCATATAGACATATAGTAACATCTGAACAGTTAGAAACTTAAAACCAAAATTAGAATCATAGCATAAAACTAGTAAACCACTGAAAATCAAAGCTTCTTAAACTGCATAATCAGCCATAACAGCTGCCATGCTTCATTTAAGGGTAAGGGGGGTATGGAAGGTACTACTTTTGAAAGGCAACTTTAATAGGCAATATATTTCAGGATAGAATTGCTTGCCTGCCAAAAGAATAAAATGTGAAGAAACTGTAAACGGATTGCCAATAAAAAGATTCTACGGACAGGGAGATAAATTGCAGACGGGGGAGAATGGGAGATAACTTGGATGAAACACTGAAAATCAGCTTGCAACATCTATATGTTAAAGCAAAACTAGTTATGATTAAGCGAGAATCCAAAAGGGTGTTTTACCGAGAACAACGACAAAGGGACTTGGGCAGAACGGTGTCGGCAACCTCAATGAGTGACGGCGGAGAAACAGAGCGGCGCGTCGAAGTAGATCGGCGGCTGCTGGTTTTTACAATCCTACGATGGAAGGGTGATTTTCCTGTAAATGGAAGGGTGGTTTTCCAACTACGGTGCTTCGAGTACAGTAAAAAAAAAAAAAACGTGCTGCGCGCACCGAAATTTCACTAATATTGGACAACTTTATCCTTGTTTCCATTTCTTTGTTTCGTTCTTCAACCGTTCAACGGTCATAAGGTCCTCGAACATAAGAAACGTGCTGCGCATAAACAATTTTACCATTTTTTGTTGGGGAAAATGTCAAATAGGTCCTCGAACTTTCATAAAAAGGTCAATTAAGTCCTTCTATAAGAGGTTCTGTCCAACCGTCGCGATTTGGGGTAGTTTCCCGGTGGAATTTTTTGATGAAATTTTTTAGCATCTTATTCACCAAGTCTAGTATACTCATCCCAAATTTTAGCTAAACATTCAATCGGGAACACATTCAAATTAATTCTTGAAGATAACTGCGCATTTTTGCGTTCTCGAATTAATTTGAATGCGCTCCCGATTAAATTTTTAGCTAAAATTTGATATGAGTAAACTAGACTTGATGAATAAGATGCTCAAAAAATTTCATCAAAAAATTCCACCGGGAACCGCCCCAAATCGCGACGACCGGACAAAGTCTCAATGGAAGGACTTAATTGACTTTTTTATGAAAGTTCGAGGACCTATTTGACAATTTTCCCTTTTTTTGTTCATGGGTCATTGGTTTCTACACTCCTGCCAGGCTGCCACTTTTTTATCCACTTATGATATTTTTCCCTACCAAATTGATATTGTGTTTCTTATTTTAACTATCCCGTCTTATTAGTATAGTTAGTTTCGTCCAAATTATTTTATACATTAGAATTAGAATGTTAGCGTACTAATTTTTAATTTATCTTAACTTTTAAAAACTAAAAATAAATTGATGCAAATAACTTCTCTAGTAATGTTTAAACTTGTATTGTGGACGAAATACATTTTTAGATTTATTTTAACCTCACACCAGATCACATCATGTTCCAACTTAGATCATAGTAAAATATATGTGTATCACATGGATTCATGTCATTCACTTAATTAGAATATCAATCTTTAATTAAATTTTAATTTGAATTTTGCAATTTGATAGAGATTTTAATTTAGTTTCTAAATAAATAAATTTTAATTATTAAAATTGAATTATTATCAATAACAAAAATTTAACTTTATTATTAGATGATAAAAATATTGACTTTGCGAAACAATATGGGACGAGGTAGTATCTATTTTTTATTTTGTAATTTCAAAATATATGTTTATATTTATAATTACTCTTGATATATAGATCATCAAGAAACCATTTGGTAACACTGAAATCGACTGAATTGGCTAATTCTGCTAAAATTTATGAAATTCTGGCTGAAATGGCTGGATTGACTGATCCTGCTGATATGTGTAAAATTATATTTAAAATAAGTTTAATTAATAAAATAAAATAAAAGTTACATGAAAAATAGCTAAAATGGTCAACTACAACATCAATCAATACTGCCAGAAAAGTAACTACAATTTTACTTTTTCTTAGTATTACACAATTCATCGCACGAAATCAAAAGTTACGTGTTGGTGAATAATTTGATTGATAAGCTTGATAGGCCGAAAAATAGGGTCACCAAACGGACCCAAAAAATACGACTAAGGCAAATACGAGTAAATCATACGGAGAAGCTTATTTAATGATAACACATAATTTAAAAATTATTTAATATTTTTCGTAAAGGGATCAGATTTTGTAAAACATTACCCATTATAAAAAATGTTTGTGGTGTTGAGCAATTGAGCGTGTGGAGCAGCAACTATAGTTACGTTTAGCACTTTTGGTGGTGCGCCAAGCAACACCCAAAAAAAAACTACGATGCTTCGAGGGAAGGGTATCTTTGGATTAATCAAAATATTTAGAGATAAATTTATCCTAAAGTTGGACTTATTTAAGGAAATGCCAAAAGTTGATAAAAACATGCATTTTTTCTTTTGAAACATTCTTCTAAATCTATTATACCTTGATTGAGATGAGACTCGAACTTGCGACCTCTTCTTTGAGAGATCAACAGTGATGTCATTAGACCACAAGATACTTAACTGATAAAAGCATGTATACGAATATAGATGTTTTTAATCGCGGTGAAAATTTTCACTCTGGCCTTTCTATCGAAATTGAAATTGGACCAAAAAGGGAAGATGACTGAAGCAAAGCTTCCATTTCACCCAAGCGATGGTATGGAGGTGGAGTTTGACATAGGATTGTAAACGAATCAAATAGTTTTAGCTCGATTCGCGATTCTAATTCGTATAAGACTATTCGAATTCAAAAAATTCAAATACAAATAAGAATACTCAATTTGATTCGAATTGTTATCAAATACAAATACGAATATCAGTGTATTCGATTCGAATATTAATCAAATATATTCGATTAATAATAGTGGAAATATTATAATATTAATAATAATAGTAATAATACTATAATAACTTTTAAGAGAGCTATACACTCAAAGTCTATCCCATATATACGTTTATGTATACAAATTGCAAGCTCATTTGTAATAAATCAGAAGTATCATACGGAGTAAGGATTGTAAAGAAGCAAATAATTTTAATTCGATTCGTGATTTGGATACAAAAAATATGATTTAAATTTGAAAATATAGAATATAAATACGAATACAAATCAGATTTTTGGTTCAAATATCTTTCAAATACGAATACAAATAATTATTTATTCGATTCAAAGAATAAAATTAGAGCCGTTTCACTATGATATATACAATTATCAACTTTTTTCACACATTATAAGTATAATTTCTAATATGTGTGTGTTAGTGTTTATCTCAAAAAGTTTGAAATAGATTTATATTTAATAATCATAAAATTGATTGACTTTAGTATGTTGTGCACAACCCAAAAATGCATCGATCCATTAAATTTTAAAGAAAAATGAACTTTTACAAATTAAATTTAAAAAACACGTACTAAGTCATATATCATGCATTTATAACATAAAAAATATAAGAAAAATTACATTAAAGTGATATTTGACTAATCTTTAACTTATGCTCAAATTGATTCGATATTCGTATATGATTCGTTAATTATTCGTATTGTTAAACAAATACAAATCGAAATCAATATTCGTTTCATATTGAAATTCGGATTCGTATTCGAAAAAATTAATCAAATATAAATACAAAATCTCACTATTCGACTCGATTCGGTTTGTATACAACCCTAGTTTGATACTTCAACAAACGGGGGCGAGGTGGGTAACTTAACGGTGACTCGCCACGACAAAGTTTGAGAATATAATGCAGGAGGGTGGTCACTGGGCAGGGTAGCAGACATTTGTTATCTTTATCTTTCGTTTGAATTTTTTCTTTTTTATTTGTTATTTTGTATTCTTCATTTCCGACATGTTCATTGTTTTGAGGGTGGGTTTTGGGAATGGCCGTGGTGTGAATTTTGGGGATGGGGAGAGAAGTATTTTGGCTGTCAGAGTCGGCTGCGACTTCAAATCTCTCGCATGTCCACAAAGGGTATTGCTCTTTACCTGATGGACTCTTTTATGTCTGGTAAGAGAATGAGGGGACTTTTCGGTTACAAGAGAGCAATGGATAGTTTGGACATTGTTCGTGTGATGACGTTCAACTATTGGTTATTGATTAATGAAGTTTAAGTCTTTTCCTTAAAAAAAATCACAAATCATATTAGTGCTTTTGAAAAGCAACGACAAACACTGCTTTTTTTTATTTACTTCTACTTTTTAGAAGTGATAACTTTTAGATACAACGTGAAATTACTAATAGTTATAGTACATTGTGGTCTGATGGCATCACTGTGGCATTCCCAAGGAGGAGGTCACAGGTTCGAATCTCATCCCAGTTCAAGGATATTGGCATTACCATTGAGCAGATACTATATAGGTTAGAAAGAATTGTCCAAAAATAAATAGTTATAGTAGATTATGTTTGAAAAGAAAAGTTATTTTTAGAAGAAGAAAAGAGTCATTCTAACGAAAGATAATTTATTTTTCGACTTGTCAATCTTATTAACTCATTGCTTTAAAAATATATTAGATTTTGATTTTACGCAATGAATTGCATAATAATAGTGAAAATAATGAAGTCACCATTGACTGAATTTGCCGAAAGCCACTATTTTAATATAATATTTTCTTTATTTCAATAATAAAATATATTTTAAATATAATTTTACATAATTCAAAAAATTCAGTCAATTCAGTTACTTCAGTAAGAATTCAACCAATTTCGACATATTCATTTCATTTGGGTGTTACCGAACGAGCTTAGAAGCCAGGTTTGGTAAAAAGTAACTTATGTGTAATAAAAACCAGCCGAGTTCGCTGGTTTGGGGGACTGCAACTTCAGATTGCTGACTGGTCCAGGAGCTGGGCCTTGAATAGTTTGGATACTTGGGTTTGGGCTGACTTTATGGACCTTGGATGTCTTCTTTTTTTATGCTGCTGAGCAGTTGATGGATTGCTGAAAATTATGGACTAGGTGATGGAACTGACTGTGTTGAGGCAGCCAGTTTTCTTTGGTGATTTTGAATGTATTTGGACTTCTATTTTGGGATACTAAGTTGGGGATTTGTCCCGTGCTAGTTTAGATATTTTGCGCTTATCTTGTACTCTCTGGTTTGTACTCGTTTGAGTTCTCTATATTTTTAATAAAATAGGAAAGTGTTCTCTGGCGCTTTCCCCACTTCAAGTGGCTTCTCCGGGACAAAAAAAAATAGTGAAAAACAATCTCAAACACACATTCACCTCCCTCCAACTTTTAGCATCATTGAACATTCCCTAAGTGCTTCACATGATGCTTTAAACATTCCCTAAGTGCTTTATTAAAGCACTATTTTTAGTTTTCTTAAACTAAAAGTTTATAAAACGCTTTTAAGCAATATTAAGGGCCTGTTTACTAACAGAGATATTTTCCAGTTTTCCAGTTTCTGGAAAACTGGAAAACAGAAAACAGGAAACGTGTTTACCAAAAAAATTCCTGGAAAACTGGAGAAAGGAAAAAACAAAAACGTGTTTACCAAACCATTTTCCAAAACGGAAAAAATGAGACATGTCTCTCTTTTCCTTAATGATTTGGAGAAGTGACTTTTACTAGTTTTCAAAATTTGAAAAACGCAGATGCTACAGCGCCGCTGCAATGAATTTGCATACTTACACCTAGTGGTGGGTCCGGTCCCGCTTCGATGTCGATTTCATTCCGGTACCTCCATCCTCGTACCCTACCCCTTATCCCTACCCTACCCTACCTTACCCACCCAACCCCACCCCGCATACCCATTTTTCCCTATAATGACCCTACCCCACCCCTACCACATGCCCCTACCCCCGGCCCCACCCCAATCCACCCTACCCTACCGCCACCCCCCTACCACCTCGACCCCACCCCTACCCCACCCGTATATTACCCTTACCACATGCCCCTACCTCGGCCCCACCCCACCGCCATCCTACCCCCACCCTCGTACCGCCATCATACCCCCACCCTTCCGCCATCCAACCACCATCCTACCCCCCCACCTTACCCTTCCCCTACCTCGGCCCCACCCAGATCCCGGGCCCACCCTACCGCCATCCTATCCCACTACCCCTACCTTACCCCAACCCTACCCACTACCCCCACCCTTACCGCCATCCTACCCCCCACCCCCTACCCCTTCCCATCCTCAGCCCCACCCTACCGCCATCCTATCCCAA